ACTGCCCAGATGGCCTGCATTACTGTATTGCGTGCCGTTCCTTCAGTTAGTGATGTGAATTAGGAGAGCATTCTGCTCATTCTCCGCTCTGCAGAGTCCATATAGATCAGTGCACCTCCTCGCCAAGTCGGTTTTTTATGAGCACACTGTCCCCTTTCATTGCTCTATTCAGGCTTGCATTTTTGTGATACTCATGAGATCACCCGAAAGACATCTGTTATGCTGTCAATTAATTAATTCAACGGACACCTATTATTTTAGAGTCTGTTAAACTCCAGATACCTAGGATATGGTGATAGATAAAACAAACAACAATTCTGCCCTCAAGAGATTGAGATTCGGGCTGGGGATGAGGTCCTATTTGTTTCTTAAACGCTGTTATTTGCAGCATGAACCTGTGGTGTTTTTATAGCAGGCATTTAAACTTTAAAGTAGATTCTAAAATAATTTGCTTGATAGACATCCTGTAAGAAAATGAAAGAGCAGAGAGGGTTTTTTTTGTTTTGTTTTTCCATAATCGTTGATGATCAAAAACGAGATCAAGCCATATTTGGTAGAAGTTAGTTTCATTAGACTAGGAACCGACCGACTGGTTGAGATTGGTTTTACACCTTAGTTTAACTGTATCCTTTAAATATGCGTGCCCATGGACCCACTGGCTTGTTTGTGTTACATTTGGGAAGGCTCAAATTGCCCTGTCTCCTGCGCACAGGTCTAGCTTGGTGGTTCCTATGTGTGAAGCACAGGGATGCAGGATTGAGTATGGATTTGTGTGGGACTAGATTATAGTCCCCGTGTCCTCTCTAGAGGCAGCGTTGCCTGCTAGCTAACAGTGCGAGCGCCGGGTTCTTTCTAGAGGCAGCATTGCATGCTAGCTAACAGTGCGAGCGCCGGGTTCTTTCTAGAGGTAGCATTGCATGCTAGCTAACAGTGCGAGCACCGGGTTCTTTCTAGAGGCAGCATTGCATGCTAGCTAACAGTGCGAGCACCGGGTTCTTTCTAGAGGCAGCATTGCACGCTAGCTAACAGTGCGAGCGCCGGGTTCTTTCTAGAGGCAGCATTGCACGCTAGCTAACAGTGCGAGCGCCGGGTTCTTTCTAGAGGTAGCGTTGCCTGCTAGCCAACAGTGCGAGCGCCGGGTTCTTTCTAGAGGCAGCGTTGCCTGCTAGCCGACAGTGCAAGCGCCGGAATCTTTCTAGAGGCAGCATTGCATGCTAGCCAACAGTGCGAGCGCCGGGTTCTTTCTAGAGGCAGCGTTGCATGCTAGCCAACAGTGCGAGCACCGGGTTCTTGCTGTCCCATCGTGTTCAAGCCTAGCCCTGTCATTTATTAGCTGTATGAGGAGGGGCAGATTAATCTAGGCCTCACTTTGTCTCATTAGGACTAAATGAGGTGTTGTGTGTTAAAAGCGTTTTATCCTATGTGGTCCATAGTAAAAAATCAGTACATGTTAAAGATTATTATTGTTGCTGATCATCACTGGTAATACTATGAGGTAATCAGCACATTTAGAAACATTTAGTTGTGCTGTGCCTTGAAATGTAGCAAAAGCACTTTATACTGCCTGGTGTGGCTCATTGGTTGAACATCAACCCATGCACCAAGAAGTCGCTGGTTTGATTCCTGGTCAGGGCACATGCCCAGGTTGTGGACCTGATCCCCAGTGGTGCAGGCCAGTCGATGTTCTCTCTCATCGATGCCTCTCTCTTTCTCTCCCTCTCTCCCCCTTTCCCTTCTTCTCTCTCTAAATCAATAAAGAAGAAAAATTAAAAAACAAAACAAAACACTTTATATTAACCTCGGATTCTTCAGGCCCACCTTTTGGAGAGGGTCTTGAACGGAACTTGTCTTTAACACGTGTTCTGATAAAAATAGATGTGTTTTCTCACCCATTTCTGTTCAGTGAAGCTTAATAAAGTCTCGCAACTTTCTAGTCTTTAAATACCAAATAAATATTATTTTACTGAGGGTCCCATGGCCATTGCTAATCACTTTAGTAATAACTCTGTATCTAATACTTACTTTGTATAGAAAATACAAATCTTGGCTTGTGATACATTTTTCTGAAATGCTTTCTTTGTTTTTTTTTTTTTTTTTTTATCCTCACCCGAGGATATTTTTCCATTTTTTGTACAGATAGAGAGGAAGGGAGAGAGAGAGAAACATTGACGTGAAGGGACACATCGAGTGGCTGCCACCCGCACGACCAACCAGGGCCGGGGACAAACTGCAACCGAAGTATGTGCCCTTAGCGGGAACCGAACCCGGGTCTCTCCGGACCGCAGGCCGACACTCTAACCGCTGAGCCAAACCGGCCAGGGCTGAAATGCTTTCTTTTAGAAAGCCTTTTTTGTAGCCGGTGGAACCCTGTCTGCGTTAATTAGAAAAGCAGTCATCGTTAATGAGGTCTGTGTGTTTTCCAACTTCCTCGTTCATTGCTGTAATTTATTCTTATGTTGGAAGAGTAAGCATTGTCATCATTGTGCCCAAATGTTCTTTTCTTACTTTTTACTGCAGTGGTCTGTGATAAAATACTAGTTATGGACAAGGATGAAAATAAAATAGCTTTTCATTTGGTGACAAATGAATAGTGTGATTGTGGTATTCATTCTAAATAATCATCTGTGTGATTCAGAAATTTAAAAATCTGAACTCAAGTGCCTCAAAATGTCTTATGTCTGGGACAAAGTTAGGTAGGATATTATATGCTAGCTAAAAAGTGGGTAGAATACTGTGTTTTTAAGATATTATATGATAACATTTTTACTGTATATATCTAATGGGTGACTTTGACTTTGGATAATCTGCACCAGTAATAATACTGCAGCGGTGGTGCCCAGCGCTGCCCACTTCCAGGCTTCTGTGTTCTACTTAAATCCCTGAGGGGGCCCTGGCCAGTTTGGCTCAGTGGTTAGAGTGTTGGCCCGTGGAGCAAGGAGTCAAGGGTTCGATTCTGGTCAAGGGCATGTACGTCCGTTGTTGTTTGTCACTGGTTCTGGTTGGGGTCATGCAGGAAGCAACCAGTCGATGTGTCTCTCTCACATCGATGTTTCTCTCTCTCTCCCTCTCCTTTCACTCTGTCTGAATAAAAAAAAAAAGGAAAAAATATCCTCAGATAAGGATTAAAAAAATAGTAATAATAAAAAATAAATAAACCCTCTAGGGGTCTCCTGTTACCTTTTACATGAGGACCAATCTCTTTATCAGCATAATTTTCCAACATTTATGAACTGTTTCTTGGCAAGTTGTGATTGATAACCTAGTGGGATAAGAGAATAAAACATAACCTAATAATATACAAAAGTGCAATAAATTTAGGAAAATGCTACTATTGATACTCAGACATATGAGGGAGAATATTTTCTTGAACTATAAAAGCAAGGCAATTGAAACATATATTTTGAACGTTTGTCTTCTTCTTAACTCAAAATTTTCCGTTGTATTTGTGGATTCCTGGGTTGTGAGGTTTAAAGGGACCTTAGCAAAAACGTTTGAAGTGCTTCACTTAAGAAAGAAAGTCACGTGGCAAAGGCCGCAGGCTCCTCAGAGACCCGAGCCTCCGTGTCCCTCGCCGCCTGGTCCTCCACTCTGCTGTATGCACCTGTTACCGTGCTGTTTGATCACTTCCCTTTCAGTCTGCCCTTCCTTCCCCTTTGGTCTTGTACATTATTTCCTTGTTTGAACAGCTTATCCTTTTTATTGAATTTATTGGGTTAACAGAATCCTGTAGGTTTCTAGAGCACAGCTCCGTGCACTGCATCGTGTGTTGCTTATCCAGCCAGCTCTGCCCCCCAGCATCTTTTAGATGCTCCCTGTTAGCTTTTAGTGACATTAAACATTTTTTTTTTATTGATTTTAGAGAGAGGAAGGGAGAGGGAGAGAGAGATAGAAACATCGATGAGAGAGAACATTGATTGGCCGCCTCCTGCATGCCCTCCACTGGGGATTTGGCTCATAGCCTGGGCATGTGCCCTGACCGGGAATCAAACCGGTGACCTCTTGGTGCAGAGGTCGACACTCAACCACTGAGCCACACTGGCCGGGCTTTAGTGACATTTTTAATCTGCAAAATCATTTCTATACTCTTGCTATTTCCTGTCCTCTGTGTCTCTGCTCTCCAAGATGTAGCCATCAGTCACATGTGGCTTTTTCAATTTTAATGAAAAGTAATTAAAGTTCTGTAGCCCGGCCAGTGTGGCTCGGTGGTTGAGCATCAACACATGCACCAAGAGATCACTGGCTCGATTCCCAGTCAGGGCACATGCCCAGGTTGTGGGCCCAATCTCCAGTGGGGGGCATGCAGGAGGTATCCAGTCGATGTTCTCTCTCATCGATGTTTCTCTCTCTCTCCCTCTCCCTTCCTCTCTCTCTAAAAATAATCAATAAAGGAAAAAAAATTTTTTTAATTGAAGTTCTCTTTCTTAGTATCAGTAGCCACATTTGAAGTGCTTTATGTATGTACATGTAGCTAGTGGTTACTTCTCCCAATCATAGAAGTTGTATCATAAGCTTTTTGAGGGCAAGCGATCATTTATGTTGGTATTAAGAACATGAAATAAATGTTTTAGTATGAATGAACACACACCCATACCATGCTTTAGTTCCTTGCCAAATGTTTTCTTTTTAAATTTTATTTTAATTTCTTTCGTATTGTTGTGCAGTATTACAGATGTTCCCCATTTTCCCTCTTTGTCCCCCATTTGCCAGCCCCCACCCCACCCCTGTCTTCACCATACTGTTATCTGTACCCTTGCCACAAGTTTCTGTTTTGAATCCTCCTTTTCTTTTGGACCATTTTATGATAGGGGAGAGATCTGCAGTTTGGTCTTTTCCATTTACATAGTGTATCTGATTTATATCATTGTACCATGTGACATACCATAAACAGGCTCTTGGAGATGAACAGTGAGAGAGGTCGTTAGCTACATGTTCCTTGTGTAGCCAGTCGTTGAAGTGGTGTGTATTTTAAATTCTTTTGTATTTTTTTTTTTTAATTTTAGTTACAATGGTGACTCCTTGGTGATCCTTCCTTGGCATGAACGGAAACACCGAGATCCAGATTGGAGTGAGCGACCGGAGTGCAGGTAAGAGGGAGGCCGCACAGGGCCCCCCCCCCCCCCCCCCCCCGGGGCAGGGCCTCGGTGGCCCTGTGATGGCAGGGTGCGCTGTGTGACTACTTGATGGGAGTCCTTGATTGACAGATTGAGTGAAGTTTTTTAAAAAGTCTTGACTTTCCTCAGTTAAATTCCTTTAAAAGAACAGTATGAAATGCTACAAAGGGATTATTCTAAAAATGGTTCTTAGACAACAACTCCTTCATTTTGAGGTATTCACTCTCAGTCTTTGACATAGGTATATTTTCGTAGCTGTTATCATGGTATGCACGCAGTTTTGTTCTTGACTCAGCTTTATTTTTGTTTTTTATAAGCTTTAACCCGGAAAGCCTCAGAGTGTGGGGGCATCGGTGCTGCAGAAGGGCTGGGGGAGGGCTGGGGGAGGGCTGGGCTGTGAGGCCTAGCGGGGCGCCACCCCACCCTGCTCCCCGAAGCCAGGTCAATGCCCGCCAGCTCCCTCACGTGGTCCGGTGCGAGCTCAGAGGTGCAGCTTTGGGCTCGCGAACTGAGCCAGAGAACCCTCAGATCTGGACATGGGCACAGCACAGGGTGGGGTGGAGTGATGGGACGCAAATCCGGGCACTTGGTGAGAATGATACATTGAATGTTGACACTTTGTTTAAAGCATTGTTTTAAAAAGCAAAGTTGTTTTAAGAAAAGCAGAAACCAAAACCATAGTCCTTTGTTCCCCTTCCTTTATATTCTGCTCACCAGGAGTAACTGCCTTCGATTCTGTTAGATGATTATTTTGGCATTTGCTCTGTATCTCTGAATAACATAATTGTACAGCTATTTCTGGATGGTTTTTTCAGTTCTGGCTATTATCTGTGGACATCCTAGGATGAAAAATTATGGTTTAGTTGATTTTTACGCATGTACCCTGTTCTTCCTTGAGTGTTTCAACCCCCTTTCTCTCCCCAACTCCCCTTTGAAAATTTTTTACTGTCATTTCAGTGGAGTTTCAGGAGACAGTGGAGCTTGAAGCATGGTGTTTATCAGCCACATTTCATAGAAGTCTTTCCTTACTGATTGTACAGGGAGTTTAAAGGGATGGATGAGTTCAGAATGGTGGGGGGTTGATGCCAGCGGACGTGGTTGTAGGGAAAGGTGTGGTGACACTGCTGCCCACAGCTCTGTCTGCACTAGACGGCCCTTTGACAGGGTGGCACTGGTCGGGCACCTGGCCCATTCACCACGCACTTCCAGGGAAGGCCAGGGCCTGGGGGGGGGGGGTGTAAGGAAGAATTTCCTGGGGTCCTGGGGAAGCCATGTGAACGCTGAGGCTGAAGGAGGAAGAGGCTGTGGCTCCGTGGACGATGAGTCTGGGGGATGGAGGGGGGAGTCTGGCGGATAGAGGGGGGAGTGTTGTAGCAGAGGAGGGGGGAGTCTGGTGTATGGAGGGGGAGTCTGGCGGATGGAGGGGGGAGTCTGGCGGATGGAGGGGGGAGTCTGGCGGATGGAGGGGGAGTCTGGCGGATGGAGGGGGGAGTCTGGCGTATGGAGGGGGAGTCTGGCATATGGAGGGGGGGGAGTCTGGCGTATGGAGGGGGGAGTCTGGCGTATGGAGGGGGGAGTCTGGCGTATGGAGGGGGGAGTCTGGCGGATGGAGGGGGGAGTCTGGCGGATGGAGGGGGAGTCTGGCGGATGGAGGGGGAGTCTGGCGGATGGAGGGGGAGTCTGGCGGATGGAGGGGGAGTCTGGCGTATGGAGGGGGGAGTCTGGCGGATGGAGGGGGGAGTCTGGCGGATGGAGGGGGAGTCTGGCGGATGGAGGGGGAGTCTGGCGGATGGAGGGGGAGTCTGACGGATGGAGGGGGAGTCTGGCGGATGGAGGGGGAGTCTGGCGGATGGAGGGGGGAGTCTGGCGGATGGAGGGGGGAGTCTGGCGGATGGAGGGGGAGTCTGGCGGATGGAGGGGGAGTCTGGCGGATGGAGGGGGAGTCTGGCGGATGGAGGGGGAGTCTGGCGGATGGAGGGGGGAGTCTGGCGGATGGAGGGGGGAGTCTGGCGGATGGAGGGGGAGTCTGGCGGATGGAGGGGGAGTCTGGCGGATGGAGGGGGAGTCTGGCGGATGGAGGTGGGAGTGTTGTAGCAGAGGGAGGAACATGTTGGAGGCAGAGGGCCAGGCCCCCTTCAAGGACTGAAAATAGGCAGGTTGCTAAAGAATCCGGAACCAGAGTGAGATTGGCCCCAGGATGCGGGCTAGCATTTTACAGATTATGAGCTGGAGAAGTAGGCGATGATACACCCAGGTTTCTGCTTCTGAAAAGATAGTGTATTACCTGACAAGGTATCATGGACTCCGTTTTGATCTTGGGGCATTTGAAGGGCCTACGAAACATCTGCAAAGCAAATAGGAAGAGTTTGGAGCTTCTAAGTGACGCCCGGGTTCGGGGTAAAAACATGGCAGTTGTGATGTCTGTGCTGACTTGTATTTTGTAGTCAAAGGGGGGACCAGCGAGTACAGAATGAGAAGCGAGGTGTTTGGAAGGGCTGCTACTTAGTGGTGGGCCAGAGGAGGGAATTCGAGCAGAGCCGATCAGACAGTACGCCCCCTGGAAGGGAAGAGCTGTTTCCAGAAGGATCAGGTAGGTGGGTTCCACAAATGGTGCTAGAGGGAAGTGAGGGCTGAAATATAGCGAAGGAACTCAGAGCAGCTTTGGGGATTCCCCTGCTGCCTTGGGGCAGCTTTAAAGGGAAGCTTCCAGAGGAGTGAGGAGACTTTCCCCACTGTGGGGAGACATCGCTGGTCAGAATGTTAGTGGCAGTTGTGAGACTAGGTAAGTAAAGGGCTACCAATTACTACTATTATTTTTATTTTTATTTTTTTTTATCCTCACCCGAGGATATTTTTTCATTTTTTGTACAGATAGAGTGGGAGGGAGAGAGAGGAAGGGAGAGAGAGTGAGAAACATCGACGTGAAGGGACACATCGAGTGGCTGCCACCCGCACGACCAACCAGGGCCAGGGACAAACTGCAACCGAAGTAAATGCCCTTAGCGGGAACCGAACCCGGGTCTCTCCGGACCGCAGGCCGACGCTCTAACCGCTGAGCCAAACTGGCCAAGGCTACTATTATTATTATTATTATTATTTTTTTTTATTCTCACCTGAGGACATTTTTCCATTTTTTGTTCAGGTAGAGTGGGAGGGAGAGAGAGGAACAGAGAGAGAGAGAGAGAAACATCGACGTGAAAGGGACACATCGAGTGGCTGCCACCCACACGACCAACCAGGGCCGGGGACAAACTGCAACCGAGGTACATGCCCTTTGCGGGAACCGAACCCGGGTCTCTCCGGACCGCAGGCCGACGCTCTAACCGCTGAGCCAAACTGGCCAAGGCTACTATTATTATTTTTTAAAATATGTTTTTTTATTGATTTTCTAGAGAGACAGGGAGGGAGAGAGAGAGAAAGAAACATTGATGTGAGAGAGATACATTGATCAGCTGCCTCCTGCACACCCCCCACTGGGGATGGAGCCCGCAACCAGGCATGTGCCCTGACTGTGAATTGAACCGGGACCTCTCAGTCCATGGGACGAGGCTCATTCCACTGAGGCACACCAGCTGGGCAAGGGCTACCAATTACAAGCATAAGAGGCTGTCTTAGACATATGGATAAGATGCCCCAGTATTTATGGGCTTTGCCTCTGGTCAAATATTACAGCTACTAATCTTGCCAATAAAAATAATACCTATAAATAAAAACTAGGCACCTGCCCTGGGCCAGCTAATGTTCCCTGTGTACTTTATTTATATTATTTCAGATATTATTCCCATTTCTCTTAGGAGTAAAACGAGTCTCAGACGGCTTGTGATTTACTAATTTGGACAGTGTCACAGCTTTTAGCGATGGAATTGTGCTTCCGCCTCAGTTCTGACTCCAGGCTAGAGCACCTGTCGTTCTAGACGAGCGCATGTCCCTGCTGGGAGGCAGCCCCTTCACGTGTGTCTCTGAAATGTCTTGGGTTAAGTCATTGTTTTTCTTACTTAGTCCTTAGCCATGGAAGGCCACAATTTTTGATCTCTGTGATGTTATTTCAGTGTACATTCTCTCAGATCAGTGGTTCTCAACCTTTCTAGTGCCGCAAACTGTAATATAGCTCCTCGTGTTGTGGTGACCCCCAACCATAAAATTATTTTCGTTGCTACTTCATAACTGTAATTTTGCTACTGTTATGAATCACCATCTGAAATATGTGTTTTCCGATGGTCTTAGGCGACCCCTGTGAAAGGTTGTTCGACCCCTAGAGAGGTCACGACCCACAGGTTGAGAACCGCTGTTCTAGATGTTTCTTTTCCCTTCTGATGGTGAGTTGTGTCAAGTCAATCATTTTGCACATGCCAATGTAGTAGTGTATTGCTAACACCTACTAAAGGTATATTAATATAAATAAGGCATATTTTCTTTTATTGTTATGAATATAGAAAACAAGGGCTTCTTAATTTATATTTGCATCCAAATCACCTGGGGGTGTTTTTTCAAAACTCGGCTGGCTGGCTGGCCATCACAGGGCATTCTGAGTTAGTAGGCCTGTGCCAGGCACCTGGCCATGTGCATTTTGTGAAAGCATTCAGGGTGGTTTTCATTTTGCTAATACTTATTGATAGATTTGTGGCATAGTTGTTTTGATTTATTGTCTATTCTGTTTTTCTGTTGTTCTGAATCCTCCCCTGAGGATATTTCTCCATTGGTTTTTAGATAGAGTGGAAAGGAGGGAGGGGGAGAGAGAGAGAAAGAGAGAAACATCGGTGTGAGAGAGACACATCAATTTATTGTCTTCCACAGGACGCTGACCGGGGCTGAGGATTAAACCTGCTGAGCCAAACTGGCCAGGGCTGTTCTAATTTTTTAAATTGGGAAAACTAACAGGAAAATAAATTAAGCATCTCCAAAATGTCCCATTTATCTTATAAGTGTGCATGCACATATAGGGAAACACACACACACACACACACACACACACACACATTTCTTATCTCTGTAACCGGTCCCCCCCCCAAATCCCCAAATTGTAATTTTTCCCAGCATTCCAATCAGTTATTAATTGTTCGTTTTGTGTTTTACAGAATGGTGGTTGAGCCGAACCTGCCAGATGAAAGTGAATTCTTGTACGCCGCACAGCCCACGTTACTGAGGTACAAGACCACCGAGCTCGCGGTGGAGACGGCCATGGACTGGTACCAGAGCCGAGCAGAGGAGATAGAGCACTATGCTGGACAGGTGAGGACCGGACAGGCCGGGAGAACAAAGGCCGTACCCAGGAGGAGCGTGGCGGTCTAATGGGTGCCCTGCAAGTGTAAGCTCTCGTCTGCAGCTGGAGGGAGCAGTGGGCGAATCTGAGCACAGTGCCGAGGGCACTTAGAAACCTGGTTCAGGGTCTGGCCAGTGGGCGATCTTTCTTTCCACTTGCAGTCTGGGGTTTGGGCATCTGTCCCACCGTCCAGTTTTCAGCTGATGGGAAGAGTGTCTCAGAGGGTCTGAGTCCGGTGCTGTGGGAGGAGCAGGTGCCCCTTGTTTACCTTTCTCTGCAGTGTTTCTGGCCCCTTCTCCGTCTGGTAGCCTTCCTAAGATTCTGCTCAGTCTGGTGCCTGTTTGTAGTGTTCCTAGCATTGAAGGGGAATTATTTTCTGGAGCTGATGGGAATATTATAGATCACACTTTTGGGGGGATGGCCAAGAATATTCATGATTGACTTTCTAAGTTTTTGGAGATGGCTAAGGACTATAGAAAGTGTTTAGAATCTGGAACTATCATGGTGAAGAGTCTCCGGAGATGATCTAGTCTGATTTTCTGTTCTGTAGGTAGACAACCTGAGGTCCACAGGGGTGAGAGTGACAGAGCCAGCGCCAGGTCCCTGTGTAAGAGTTGTCACAGAGCCCACATGCAGAGTGAGCAGTTACACAGGCCTTAATGGCTCAGAGCAGGATAAGTTAATCTGAAAACGTGGTCTTAGCCCCACAGTAGCAAATATTTTATAATACGTATTACCTGATGAGAAAATCATAGACATATTCTATTAGTAGAACACTTCCAAAAAGTTAATATAGTGACTTCACGGCAATATATAGGATCAATGAAATATGTAAATGTTTCGTCCCGACTTTACTGGGAAGCAGAGTCAGGGAGAAGTCACTTTGAATAAGACAGCTGAAGATGCAGATGTGGATGTTGTTGGGTTAAATGCCACAGATTGCTCTTGGGGATGTGAACACCTCATGGTAAACTTTTTAACAAAACAATGGAAATCCTCCCTTGGTTATATAGTAGCTGCATTCCAGGAAGTTCTGTGTAAATGAAACCATACAGAAAAGCATTTTGTAGAAGTATGAAATGAGGTTGAGGTCTAGACTCTGATGGTTGTGAGTAGGTTTTTCAGGATATCCGAAAGGTGGGCGGGATGCAGGACAAGGTGGTTACGTTGTGGGGCGTCTGGCTTCCGCCCACTTCACGTCAGTGTGTCCCATGGGTTCTCGTGATGGGCAGAAATGCCTCTTCAGATTTTCTGGATGCCTCCTGGTGGACCGTTCTGCTTCCCTTGGGAACTGTGGTCTTAGACCCATGTCATGCCTCTGGAGAGGACCCGTTCATACTGGTCACTTAAGCAAAGGCATTTTATTTTGCGAATGCAGGAGAAACTCACTCGGGAGTAACTGATGAAGAAGGCTCTCAAGTGAGCCACTGAACACATTTTTGTACAGGTCAATGTATAACTTGTATCTAGACATCTTTTAAGGTTCTGGAGGTGTCCGTGACTCACAGGAAATGCGTGAACTTTACTACTGTCTCTGTCTAACAAGCCAGAGGATTCTGTTTGAACCAGTTTGCCGGACCAGGTCAAAAAGCTTTTTTACATTTATCTATGTTCTTATTTATTTGTTTGTTTTATTAATACTATTTTTTAGAGGAGTTTTAGGTTTATAGAAAAATGGAGTAGAGAGGACAGAGTTCTTGTGTACCCCTTCTGACCCCCCCCCCCGTTTCCCATTTTTAACATCTGCATTGAGTGCTGCCTTTGTTACAGGCGGTGAACCAAGATGTAGGTCAGTGGGAAATAAACATTGGTGCAAACACAATGGACTATTCCTCAGTGCTAAAACGAAAGGAGCTGTCAAGAAAAGACATGGAAGAAACTTAAATGCATGGGGTGATTTGAGGTGCTTCATTCAGCTGCCTGCTGTTCTTTTTTCTCTCTCGTTTACTCAAAAGCACTTCTAATAGAGGTATTGTTCACTAGCTTCATTCGCGTATTGACGTCTCACGCGGCTTATGCTGCAATCAGAGTGACATCTAGCATAGTTTTACCTTTTTCATTGTAAAGATTTAATTGATATGGCACTTCTTTATCCTTAGTGCCTACGGATGCCTTCAGGTAAACATTTTTGTTGGCTTAGGATACTGTGTCTGGTGGTGAAATGTGTCCAGTGAGGGCTTGGGGTTTGTGGTATAATTCTTTAAGTTGCCTGCGAGCCTACATTCATTAAAGGTGTCAGTTATTTGATTCCAAAACATTTTGACTTCAGTAAGTATTGGGAAAGCGACAAATTCGAAGCTGATGTTAGAAAGACAAATCTGGATCACAAAATTGGTGAATGTATTACAAACCGCTAATGTGCTGTGTGTTCAAACTATTACTTGCACAGAGTTACATGTTTTATGCATAGAGTTTTCCTCACGCTTTCTGAAAATTCACCTGAGAGAGAGCATTTTTGTAAACTGATGTACAGGGAGATGGGTCCTCTCAGACACGAGTTACATCTCCATGACTAGGCATTAGGTGAGCACTTGGATCTGTTTGCCTCGTGCCTTACCTGCCTACAGTCCCCTCCGTGCTTGTTTGTCCCACTCTCCAACGGAAAGTGTGTTTCTTTTTTCATTTCATCTGCACCTGTCCGTCCCTGGGGCTCTGAAGGGTGGATCTTGAACATGGCTACTCCCCTCCCCCCCACTTCTCACACCCACCGCCTCCTTCCTCGTCCTCAGCAATGATTTTGTTCTGTGTCTCATTGGGAAACTGGAGAGCTCAGTTCCATTTGCTCCTACTTTTTCCAGCTTTTCCCTGAAGACGTGGTCTGTCTCCTTGTCCTCAAGCTACTTTCTTCCCCTGTGCTCCGAGCCCACCCGCCCACCCGCCCAGCCATCTACTCTGTCTTCCGTATCGTCAGCTCTGTCGACTGCTTTCCCTTTTTTTTTTTTTTGATATAAAGTTCAAATCAATCTTATTTCATACATAAAGAAAATTGAGCCATGTTCGCCCTGCCTTCTGCCTTAGCTGCCTTCTTTCCACCACAGTTCAGCGCGGGCGCTCAGCTCTCTGTCGTCGCTTTCTCAGTGTCCCCGGTCCCCCTGGAGGCGGGCTGCTCCTGCCACTCTGTGCGCCCCCAGAGCTGGCTCCCTGCCTCTGTTCACCAGATGGCCCTTCACCACTGCCTCTGCCGAAGCGCCGGCTCCCAGCGCCCCCAGAGCCGGCTCCCTGCCTCTGTTCACCAGATGGCCCTTCACCACTGCCTCTGCCGAAGCGCCGGCTCCCAGCGCCCAGAGCCGGCTCCCTGCCTCTGTTCACCAGATGGCCCTTCACCACTGCCTCTGCCGAAGCGCCGGCTCCCAGCGCCCAGAGCCGGCTCCCTGCCTCTGTTCACCAGATGGCCCTTCACCACTGCCTTTGCCGAAGTGCCGGCTCCCAGCGCCCAGAGCCGGCTCCCTGCCTCTGTTCACCAGATGGCCCTTCACCACTGCCTTTGCCGAAGCGCCGACTCCCAGCGCCCCCAGAGCCGGCTCCCTGCCTTTGTTTAACCAGATGGCCCTTCACCACTGCCTCTGCCGAAGCGCCGGCTCCCAGCGCCCAGAGCCGGCTCCCTGCCTCTGTTCACCAGATGGCCCTTCTCCACTGCCTCTGCCGAAGTGCCAGCTCCCAGCGCCCCCAGAGCCGGCTCCCTGCCTCTGTTCACCAGATGACCCTTCACCACTGCCTCTGCCGAAGTGCCAGCTCCCAGCGTCCAGAGCCGGCTCCCTGCCTCTGTTCACCAGATGGCCCTTCACCACTGCCTGTGCCGAAGCGCCGGCTCCCAGCGCCCCCAGAGCCGGCTCCCAGCCTTTGTTCACCAGATGGCCCTTCACCACTGCCTCTGCCGAAGCGCCGGCTCCCAGCGCCCCCAGAGCCGGCTCCCTGCCTCTGTTCACCAGATGGCCCTTCTCCACTGCCTCTGCCGAAGTGCCAGCTCCCAGCGCCCCCAGAGCCGGCTCCCTGCCTCTGTTCACCAGATGGCCCTTCTCCACTGCCTCTGCCGAAGTGCCAGCTCCCAGCGTCCAGAGCCGGCTCCCTGCCTCTGTTCACCAGATGGCCCTTCACCACTGCCTCTGCCGCAGCGCCGGCTCCCAGCGCCCCCAGAGCCGGCTCCCTGCCTCTGTTCACCAGATGACCCTCCACCACTGCCTCTGCCGAAGCGCCGGCTCCCAGCGCCCAGAGCCGGCTCCCTGCCTCTGTTCACCAGATGGCCCTTCACCACTGCCTTTGCAGAAGTGCCGGCTCCCAGCGCCCAGAGCCGGCTCCCTGCCTCTGTTCACCAGATGACCCTTCACCACTGCCTCTGCCGAAGTGCCAGCTCCCAGCGTCCAGAGCCGGCTCCCTGCCTCTGTTCACCAGATGGCCCTTCACCACTGCCTGTGCCGAAGCGCCGGCTCCCAGCGCCCCCAGAGCCGGCTCCCAGCCTTTGTTCACCAGATGGCCCTTCACCACTGCCTCTGCCGAAGCGCCGGCTCCCAGCGCCCCCAGAGCCGGCTCCCTGCCTCTGTTCACCAGATGGCCCTTCACCACTGCCTCTGCCGAAGCGCCGGCTCCCAGCGCCCAGAGCCGGCTCCCAGCCTTTGTTCACCAGATGGCCCTTCACCACTGCCTCTGCCGAAGCGCCGGCTCCCAGCGCCCCCAGAGCCGGCTCCCTGCCTCTGTTCACCAGATGGCCCTTCTCCACTGCCTCTGCCGAAGCGCCGGCTCCCAGCGCCCCCAGAGCCGGCTCCCTGCCTCTGTTTACCAGATGACCCTCCACCACTGCCTCTGCCGAAGCGCCGGCTCCCAGCGCCCCCAGAGCCGGCTCCCTGCCTCTGTTCACCAGATGGCCCTTCTCCACTGCCTCTGCCGAAGTGCCAGCTCCCAGCGCCCCCAGAGCCGGCTCCCAGCCTTTGTTCACCAGATGGCCCTTCACCACTGCCTCTGCCACAGGCTCTTCTGGGGAGGCTTCTGTGCTCCGTTTTGCGTCTTGTCTTGTCTTTGTCTCAGCCATTCATTTTCGCCGCCTCCTCGTGGTTCCTGTCCTTGGGCTTGTCCCTTAAATATTGCCATCCCTGGGCACCACGCTTGTCACACAGCGAATCCTCTAAAGCCCATGCCTGCAGTTCCCCTAATTTTGTGGCCCGTTTTCAGTCCGGCTCACCCCCAAATCATCGTCCATAAGTTCTTACCAAGCATTCTTCCCAGCGTGTAAACCGATGACACGCGCAGCGGAACAGCCTGTCAGCGCTGTGGTTCGGGAGCCGGCTCGGCTCGGCTCAGCAGACAAGGGCCCGTCACCGTCCGGCCCCTCCCCCACGCCAGCCACGCGTCCTCGCTTCCGGTCACACCTGCTGTGGCTGTCACAGCGCATCGTGGGCCGTCCCTGCTCTCTCACGCCTCTCCCTTCGCCTGCTGCTGCCCCTGATCCTCGGCGAGCTGCGTCGCCCTCGGGGTGTGCCCTCTGTTTAGAGGTCCTAGTCCTCCGCAGGACTTGGCCCCTCCTCCCTGCCACCGCTTCTCCGGTGGCTCTTCTGAGGGAGGGGCCTCGTCTTAGCGGTGTCATCTCCCATCCCTGGAATGGTGCTCGCTCAGTCGCCTCACTGAACCTGTCCGTCTGGGAGGGGTCGGAAGCAGGAGGAGAGGGGCTTTGGGCTCAGGCCGCGTGACACCGCGCCGTCCACCAGAATCTGTCCCTCTGCATCTGATCAAACAGTAGAGTCGGACTCTGTCTCCTGAGCACCTATACGGAGGTCCTTCTTCATTTGGTCTAGGCGTCTTCATACTCGAATGGAGGCAAGAACGTGTGTGTCAGTTTGTCACTCAGCAGTTTTTCTCGACTGCCTTCCCGACAAGGCACACGGAGGGAAGGAACTGGGACGAGTGTGGCAGCGAACGGGTTTTCGGAGCAGACCGGTGCAGGGACGTGGGATCGACTTGGCGTTTCCCCTGCCAGTAATGTTGTCAGAATCAGACAGACAGGTATCCGCGAGACTGCTCTGCACACTCACGGTCTGTGAATTTAAGGTGGTTGATTCTCTCACCATCTTTGCCTTCAGCATCTCTTGCTGATTGTACGATTCTTTTGAAACAGTATGATCTGATATATTTAATAAATAACTCTAAAGTTTTGTACTGAAATGTATGTTGCTGATGCGGTCGTATGTAAATTGGTGACGAGAACTGGATTCTGTGCAGAGGTTTTTACTGGAGGACGTGTGGCCAGCTGCCAGCCTCACGCTCACTGTCGCCTCTCTGTTTCAGGTCGACTGTGCCTTGTCGCTGGTTCGGCTCGGGATGGAGCGGCACATCCCCGGCTTGCTGGTTCTGTGCGACAACTTGGTGACCCTGGAAGCTCTGGTCTATGAAGCCGGGTGTGACCTCACCCTGACCTTGAAGGAACTCCAGCAGATGAAAGACATTGAAAAACTGAGATTGCTGATGGATAGTGTAGGTTTTACTTTAACAGTCCTTTACAAATGTTCCTTTGATTAATGAGTGCCTCAAAGCCACAGATGGAATGTCCTCCAAACCTGAGAACTTAGTAAATTAAGGAAGGTTTTCTGGCTTTCTTAAAACTGTACTCAGTTTTCAGGGTAGGCTACTGAACTCTTCCGCGGTTCTGTACCCTGCCCGCCCTTCATTCACCGCGTCCACGTGCAGCTCTCTTCCCGTCCGGCTCGGCGTGCTGCTAAACCAGCTCATTCTCGTCATGCTCCAGCCCTTCGCTGTTAAAATTCACGACGACGGATATATCTCAGGGTCTGAAAACCAGGCTCTGGAGTCTGGAGGGCTGCGCGGGTGTGGGAAGGAAACTTGGCTTCAGCGTTAGTATGTTCAGGGGAATTTGCCTGTTTTCTTAGATTTTTTTGGTTCATCCTGGGGAGAAAGTACATTGCTAAAGTTAGGATCTGGCTCCTGCTAAGCCCACAGAGCAGAGAGCCGGCTCTGACTCAGGAGTGATGGGCTGAGGAGGTGCCCAGGAGCCTTTTGGTCTTGCTGTCCGGCAGCCTGTGTGAATGGGCAGGAAGGGGGGGTCACAGCGCCTGATGGGATCCCCTTGCTCCCTCACTCTTCTGTTCCTCTCCGGTGCTTTGTTGTTATTAATCCTCATTCATTCATTTTCATATAAAGTGGAAGGGGGGGAGAGAGAAACATTGTCATGGTTGCCTCCTGCACAACCCCAGCCTGTTGATGGTCCGCAGGCCGCACCCTGAGGCTGGGCGCTCCCCTGTGCTTCCTTGTTCTCTCCTTTCCCGTTCTCATCCCTCTCTCACCGTGTCCCTCCCTCTCATCAAGCCTTCTCTCCGTCTCCCTCCGCCCGCCGTCCCTTTCTTTCACCAGCTCTCTGACCCTCTGCCCGCGGACGTGATCCGTGCTGCCGCAAGCCTCCTCCTGAGGGGTGGAGTGCATCTGGGGACAGAGGGGGTCGTGTGGTTTCAGGGACGAGGAGCGGAGCTGTGTGCACCGTTTGGGGTTCGTGAAGGTGGGTGTGAAGGGGCAGAAGAAAACAGAGGAGGAGGGCGAGGGCAGGAGAGAATACAGGTGAGACTGTTGTCAGGCGGCTGCATTCCAGAGCTTCTCCGGGCCTGTCCGTCTCTGCCCTCCTGTTCCACACTCTCTGCTGTTCTGTGGTCTCTCCCTCTCTTCAGCCCTGCCCCCAACACATGCGTGGGGCAGAACCTCGTTTGCTCGGAAGGCCTCCTGCCTCAGCCGTAGGCCTCCAGTCTTCCGCGCTGGCCTGGTGGTGAGGGACCCGAGTGCAGTGGCCCTTCCAGCCTCGGGGGGCAGGGGGTGAAGCCGAGTGTCTGTTCTAGAGCATTGGGGTTCCACTGGCACCTCAGTCTGATTTCCTGGGAGTTCTGGAACTTTAGTCTGGTATACACAGGTATTTAATTTAACTTAATGTGTGTTTATTTTTAAATTCTATTTTCAGTGTTCTGAGGACAAGTACGTGACAAGTGCCTACCAGTGGATGGTTCCCTTTCTTCATCGTTGTGAGAAGCAGTCTCCTGGTGTGGCTCAGGAGCTATTAAAAGAATACTTGGTAACTTTAGCTAAAGGAGACTTAACACTTCCCCTGAAGATATTTCAGCATTCCAAACCAGACGTAAGTAGACACGCTAACATCCTGAACATCTCTGCGTTGTTTCCTCTACAGAATTAGGTTTTATTCACTAATTTTTAAATAATAGGCTTTGCAAATAATTTTCCTTTAAATAGAAAAGGAAATGGTCGTCATTTAATTTTTTAAAAATGTTTCAGTAGTTCGGTCCAAAATTGTTTTGGAAGTTCATAAAATTGTGTTTATTTTAACTGATTTCCACCCAGGTTTGTTGGCTATTATATGTTGGAAATGGGCGATTCCCAAAAGACTAACAGTTGATAGGTACTGAATTCTTGTATCAGCAGGTGTGCTGCAAGTGTGACAATTCAATCCGTGTGCCAATCTTAGGGGGTAGATTTCTTTTTAATCCTCACTTGAGGATAATTTTCCATTTATCTTCAGATAGAGTGGGAAGGAGGGAAGGATGGAGGGAGAGAAAGAGACACACACACATTGATGTGAGAGAGACTCATTGACTGGTTGCCTCCCGCACAACCCCGACCCGGGCCGGGGACTGAACCGCAACTGAGGTACCTGCTCTTGACCAAAATCAAACCCGAGACTCTGGTCCACGGGCCGACGCTCTAACTGCTGAGCCAAACCGGCCAGGGCTGAGGTAGATATTTTTATTATATCATGTCATGGGAAACGAAAGTTGTGATAGAGGTTATGCAGTTGCCCGGGTCCCATAGTAAGGAGTGGAACCCGGGCTCACGCATTCTGATCTCACAGTTACGTTCTTAGCCATGAGATTTACCGTAACACCAGCGTTAGAAGAAGAGATTCCTGCCCTTGAGGACCTTCAAAATACTTGTGAAAATCTTTAGGACCCCACAGGGAGATCTTGTAACTATTCTTAATAACTCTGTTCGCTTAAGATGACTTCATTGCTAGCGCTGTATCTAGCGGTCCGGGTTTGCCAGCGGTGAGCCGTTTAGCTAAGGGCGCACCTCTGCAAAGCAGACCGGCGGTGAGTCTTTAGCTAAGGGCGCACCTCTGCAAAGCAGACCCCCTCATGCCCGGGGTCCGCCAGTGGTTGGCGGGCTGGCGGCTCCCTCCCCCAGAGGGTCCAGCAGCAGGGCAGTCTCCAGGCGCAGACCTCTGTGCGTGAGCCCCGGACTTAAGCCGAGGTCCTTTATGGCCCCTTCCCACCCGCGGCTCTGCCCGAGTGCCCTTCCTTGTGCAGCCTTTGCTGGCAGAGTCTGAAGTCCCCTGAGGCGCGCGGTCCTGACCAGGATAAGCAGGATGAGAAGGGAAGCGTTTCTGTGAACCCGACACATTGTTTGTTTCTGGAAGGCTCACTTGTCAGAGATGTATCTGTTCATTGGCTGTTTACAGTTTCCCACCTTCTCATGTGCAGCTACTACTTAGTATTCTGATTTTAAATCCGGGAGCTTCCCGTGAGCCGGGGCGGGTTGCTTGTGCCAGCAGAACACTGTGAGAAGCAGGATGGATTGACTATGAATGTTTTATGAGGAAGAAGGAAGGGACTTTAAATTCTTGTCAGTAATCTTGTTTGTGATACTTCTTCCTTACAGTCTTATAAATCCTTTGTATATAGTCAATTTTTTGTTATTTTACTTGGCATTTTAGCCTGTGCCTTTTGAATAAAACATATAGCCTGAGAAACAGCGTCAGCATCGCAGGAGAGAGCAATGGTGCTGCTGGCCCTTCTTCTCCAGTCCAGCCCCCGGTTTCTCCGGGGCTGCCTTTCTGCCGCACACGTCTGTTCATGTCGCCCTCCGTGGCACCTCCGTGACTGCCATTGCCCAGGGTCACCCTGGGCTTTCTGGGGTGGCCTGAGGTTCTTTTGGTCTGCTCTGGCCTGCCTCTTCAGCCTCACCCCCTTCACCAGTGCACTAGGTCACTGGTTCCGAACTTCTCACCTCTGCCCCCCTCCTTCAGGACCCTGCTCCCTAAGATTTCCTCTCCGTGAACCTCCATGGTCTATCTGTGATAGGACAGGTCTGCTCCTTCCTCTGCTAACCCGTCTCAGACTGGGCTGTGATGTTTGTTCACATGCTTGCCTCTCCCTCCCTGTTTCCTGTGCATGTTCTCTGTCTTCCGGATTTGTTACTGCAAGGGGCTGACACGGAGCCTTGGAGAGAGCATGCGCTTGGTAAATTGTGGCAGGGCGAGTGAGTGAATGAATGAACGAACGACGGATGGAAATTGGGTTTTATTGTGATGCTTTAGATGACTTGTTTACATCTGATGCTTTACTAGGAATGTGCTTAGAGCATTGCTTTTATTTTACTGGCTTGTTTATGAAAAAAGTGTACCTGGGATCTGCCATGAATCATGCACAGAGTATTTTTAGTAATACAGTAGGGACAATGATTTCTTTTTTTCTTTACTGATATATATATATATATATATATTTTTTTTGTAAGGAGAGAGAGGAAAGGAGAGGGAGAGAGAAATAGAAACATCGATGAAAGAGAACATTGATTGGCCACCTCCTGCATGCCCCCCACTGGGGATCGGGCGCACAGCCTGGGCATGTGCCCTGACTGGGAATTGAACCAGCATCCTCTTGGCGCACGGGTCAACGCTCAACCACTGAGCCACAGCGGTGGGGCGGGACAATGATTTCTGTATTTGACAGCTTAGGCTAAATTATACTGAATTAACAAGTGACCTCTAAATCTTAGTAGCTTACAACAGGAAATATTCATTTCTCAAGTGTCATATGGACTGGTTGGGCCTCTGCAGTGTTCCATGTCTTATTCATTCCAGGACTCGGGCCGAAAGAGCCATGCCCTTCTCTCGCTCGTGGCCCAAGAAAAAGAGCAAAGCGGACCACTCAGTGGTTCTTCAAGGTTTAGCTCAAAAGGGTTCGGATTACTTCCTCTCATGTCACAGGCCAGAGGAGGTACATGCTGGTCCTGATGTTACCAGAGCAGAGAAGAACAATCCTTTTCTTAGGAAGACGGGAGTGTATAATCGGGAACAAGAATACAGATACAGACTTGTCATTTTTACATTCTCGTGTGCCTCAAACTTTTCTTCCTTTTTATAACATCTTAAAGCACTCATCTATGATTTTAGGCCTTTGCTCTTTGCTTGATCTGCCTTTGGAAAGTGAAACTGGATAGAGATGATTAGGAATAAAATATTCTTCCTTCTCCTCTTGTTCTCTGTCTTCTAGCCTATACCCTAGGAATGCATTGGTGCATCAGACTGTGTGAATTTTTTTGTTAATAAAATATATTTTCTAGGCCCAACCCATATACATAATAGATTAGAATTTGGGGAGCAGGCATTTCTGTGATGTGCATTTTCCAATTCATCCAGTGATCCTGATGCTAGGGTTAGGAACAACAGCTTTATTTATTTTTATTTATTTTTTATTTTTTTATCCTCACCCGAGGATATTTTTCCATCTTTTGTACAGATAGAGTGGGAGGGAGAGAGAGGAAGGGAGAGAGAGAGAGAAACATCGACGTGAAGGGACACATCGAGTGGCTGCCACCCGCATGACCAACCAGGGCCGGGGACAAACTGCAACCGAAGTACGTGCCCCCAGCGGGAACCGAACCCAGGTCTCTCCGGACCGCAGGCCGACGCTCCAACCGCTGAGCCAAACTGGCCAGGGCGGAACAACAGCTTTAAATGGAATTCACTGCCCAGCAGTTTCTTAGGTGAAGTTTTCAGTTCATTTTTGAATTACATCATTCAGTAGGCACTTTCAAATTTTTAAATGACCTTTTCTAACTTACTACCTATTGTAGAGTATTTAGAAAACTCAAAAAGACATACAGATGAAAATAAAGTTTTTGTGTTTGGCAGTATCATTGACTGGATAATCTAGAAACCCTTGTTCTATAAAATATCTAGATGTGTTCATTCAATTATTTTTTAAAAATCTGCTTACCTGCATAGCTGAGCTCATAAGGAAGTGGAGGAAATCCCTACAGGCCAAGCAGAGAGGGAGGTGGGTGGGAGAGAGTTCCTGTGGGCTGGGGTTCAGTGTTGAACACCTCTGCAGGGGTGAGTTCTACACCTGAGACAGAGGTGGAGTCTGTTAAGCTGGTGAGTTTGAAGTGAGGCCAGGGTCCTCTAATAGTCACATTTCTCTAATGATGAGTGAATTTGAACATTTTGTCACATGTTTGAGAGGCATTGTCTCTTTTTTGGTGCATTGTTCATTCCTGCCTTGTTCTTATTTTTTCACTTGGATTTTTGTTCCTTTGAGCCTTATTATTTTTAGACACTTACTTATGTCAGTGTAATGATCCCTCTTTCTGTGATGTATATTGTGAATTTTTCTCCCTGTTGGTAGGTTGCCTTCTAACTCTGTTTAGGAGGATTAGGTCACGCAGCATCATCTCTGTGTCTGTGTAGTCAGACTGACCGGCCTTTTCTCTCATTGTCTCTGTATTCTGAGTCAGCCCGAGGAAGGCCTTCCCACAGCGAGGTTAAAGGACATTCGCCCACGAGGCTTCATTTTTATGTTTAGAGCCTTAATCTGGAGGTTTTTTTTTTATATTATATGAGAGACAGGGAGTTACTTTTGTGTTTCCCCAAGGGGCTGCCTAGGTGTCCCAGCACCATTTATTAAAAAATTGATCTTTACCTGAGTGATTTGAGATGATACCTTTGTGATATACCAAGTCTGTGGGTCTGATTCTAGAGTTTCTGTATTGTTCTGATGATCTTTTTACCTGCCCAGGCACTGGTACCACACGGCTTTACTACAGAGATTTTGTAGTTTTTAAATCTGAGAGAGGGAATACTCCTTGTAGGGTTTTTTTTTTTTTTTTCTTTTTTGGCTCCTTTTATGTTTGTTTTCCCACCTGAACGTCAACATTCACTTGTCTAATTCTATAAGATGACTTGTGAGTATTTTTATTGTGATTGTATTGAATTTATAAATTAACTTATTGAAGCCAGTATCTTTATAATGTTCAGTCATCCTGTTCAGGAAGGGAGGATATCATTCTGTTTGTTCATGTCTTTCTTACTGCCTTTCAGGAGTGTTTAAAATTTTCCTCACAAAGGTTTTGCTCATTTCCTGTTAAATTTATTTCTAAACATTTAATTTCCTCTGTTTTCTATTATAAACGGAGTTTTCTCTGCCCTGATTTTCTGTTTATTGTGTGTTATATGAAATCTGTTGATTTTGTATGTTATTTTGTATCCGTAACTTTACTAATTTTTACAAAATTTTTATTAAGTTTATTGAAGTGACATTGGTTAATAAGATTATATAAATTTCAAGTGTACAAGTCTATAATCCATCCTCTGTATATGCATGGTGTGTTCACCCTTCAAAGTCAAGTCTTCTTCTGTCCCCATATATGAAACCCTCTACCCCTCCTCTGCCCCCTGCTTTCCCTCTGGTAACCACCACACTGTTGTCTGTCTGTGAAGTTTTTGTTTGCTTGTTTGTTCGTTTGTTGCTTTCTGTTTTGTGTTCACATGTGAGAGAAATCATATGGTTCTTGATTTGATAATGTCATGCTGAGTGAAATAAATGAGACGGAAAAGGTCAACTAATTTTTTTTATTGGTTGATTCTATGGTGTTTTCCAACTATCTTAACATCTGTTTTTTTTTTTTTTTTAGTTGTCTGTAGTGCATAGTTTTAAGACTAATTAAAATTTTTTTTTTTAGCCCTGGCCAGTTTGGCTCAGCGGTTAGAGCGTCCGCCTGCGGTCCGGAGACACCCGGGTTCGGTTCCCGCTAAGGGCACGTACTTCGGTTGCAGTTTGTCCCCGGCCCTGGTTGGTTGTGCGGGTGGCAGCCACTCGATGTGTCCCTTTCACATCGATGTTTCTCTCTCTGTCTCTTCCTCTCTCTCCCTCCCACTCTGTCTGTACAAAAAATGGAAAAATGTCCTCGGGTGAGGATAAAAAAAAAAAAAAATTGTTTTTATTTGTATACCTTGCTATACAATATGGAGAGTCATTTGCTATGCATGGTGGGAAAGACTTATTTCATTGACTTCTCAGAAAGTCCTAGATGGGCTCTATTCTATTAGCCTGAGGTGGATCTAGTGGTGGTTTAATACTTACCACTGATGTTAGGCAGGAATAATGGCAGTAAAACAAAGTGTGTCTTACACTATATGAAGTTAACTTACATCTTGTAGGGAGTCTAACAAGGCAAGAATGAGAAGTGTCTTAAACATTTGAGCAGTGTGATTTACATACACAATAGATTGTCTTAAGATAGCTATGCTGAGTCCTGGCTGGTTTGGCTCAATGGTTAGAGAGTTGGCCCGTGGACCAATGAGTTGCGGGTTCGATTCCAGTCAAGGGCATGTACCTCAGTTGTGGTTTGTCCCTGGCTCTGGACGGGGTCGTGCAGGAGGCAGCCAGTTAATGTGTCCCTCTCTCATTGATGTTTCTCTCTCTCTTCTTCTCTCTCTCCCTCCCTCCCACTCTATCTGAAGATAAATAATCCTCAGGTGAGGATAAAAAAAAAAGATAGATATGCGGAATGGAGTAAGAAGAGAAAAAAACAACAACAAAGAAATACAGAGATGAAAAAGGATCTGTGCATGAGAATCGTATGAGGATTAATTCATTGGGCCAGCATGTACTGAGCATGTGCAAGTGACCGTAGAAAACAGACTGGGAAAGTCCAGTTGAAGTGAAATCCAAGTGGAGCCAAACCTGGATGATTAGGGGGTTCTAAAGAGGGCAAGTCTAAGTTCCGGAGCAGAATTCCATGTGGGGCAGAGTAGGGCAAGGAGACATAGTCTGACCACCAGCATGGTTGGGTGAAGGCCAGGCAAAGAGTTCGTTCTCGACCTTTCACTTGGAAGGACCACCGCAGGGTCTCCAGCAGAGGATGCTGAACGTAAGGGTGTCCCCCCGAATGTACACAGGGCGTCTGTAGATTCTCTTACATTTTGCAAATGAAATGTATTTTAATGAACACTGGCTTTATAATTGCACTTCTTTTGTGTATCCCTGTTTTGTGGGATACCCCGTATATGACTAACCGTGGATGCCAGAACGTTGCACTTTCAGGCATCACTTGAAAGTCTCGGGGAGGGAAGACAGGAAGCAGAGAGGTGCGAGGAGGGGCGTCGAGGCCTCGGCTTCTGTTTCTGCTCATTTCCCCAACCGTTCCCTTGTTTCCCCTCTTTATTTTATTGTTGTTGTTTTTTAATCACCATTTACTACCTCTTCCACATCCTTGGGTCTTCCCACCCCCCAATCCCAAATTGTTCTTCGACTGAAGCTGGTTTCACTTCTTCTGTCTTCCTGGGACACTTTCTTACCACATGGGAGGGGTTTATCCCGGTTTTCCCTCAGTCCCTCCCCTTCTTCCTGAGTGGGAAGGATTCAGAAGGCTCGTGGAGCTGGCGTTGCGTCGGGCCGGCTTGGCCTGTGTTGGCCTCCTGGGCGACCCGGCCAGTGCTGTGCCCTGTGCTCTCGTCACCTTAGGAAACAGCTTAGAACCAGTGCTCACCTTCTGGTACTGCTCACTAGGCTTAGGCACCAATACCTGTAAAAGACTTAGAAATAGCAGCTGGCACATGATAAGAGATCAGGAAAAATTAGTGATCTTAATCAATCTGTAATAACACCTTTATGACACCTGCTTGTCTCCAATTCACCAGTGTGTCACTTTGCAACCATGCGCAACTTTTTGTTAAAGGTTGATGTCACATTAATGATATATTTTTTTTCTTAACACCTTGAAGAAAGGTATATAAATCCTTTAACTGAACTACTTAAATAAAAACTTTATCCCTCTGGTAACCTTGACTGTTTCTTCTTTCCATCCACTGCTGTGATTTTTCTGCTGAGAAAATGCCTTTGTTTGGCATTTCCCTTCATCAAGTCTCCTGTCTGTTTTGTGTTCCTAATAGAATGTTGAAAACAGATATATCTTGCCATGGAAAAATGATCTTAAACTTATTTTGTCATTGAAAAGAGTTAGAAGTTTCTAAGGAAATAGTTAGAAGTTTCCATTTTGTTTTCGGTGGTGGTAATAATATAAGCAATCTACGTGTACTAATTTACTTAATCCACAAAACAGTGCTACCTGCTAGGAAGTGGTTACCATCTCCGCTTTGTAGACGAGGAATGACACGGCAGAGATCTGTTATTTTTATGTCCCAGAACTCTAAGATTGGAATCTGGGGTCTGCAGTGGGAAATGGTGTGTGCTGTGTAGAAAGTGACCCAAAGTAGCTGTCATTCTGCATCAGAGATCAGGAGCATATTCCAGGAGCTGAATATTCCTGCATTACAATGCGACTTCTTTCGAGTAAAATGTCAGTGCTGTTTAGTTAAATGACTGATCTGTTAGCATCTTGAAAAATAGTAGGTCCGAACATCTCTGAATATTAGTTAAGGAATTTTATGTATTTTTGTAATTGAAACACATAAAATTTGGCTTTAGGTTAAAAATGTTTTTAATGAATTGCCTTTTCAATTTACTGTGTCTCTTCTATCCTGAATGGGTTGTAAATGGAAGAATCTGCTTTCAGCAGATGCAAAGCTTATGGGTACACATGATCTTTTCTGGCTGCTTCTGTAATTAAAAAGTGATTTCATTTAGCATTATTAAACATCCCCAAAGTCTGTAAGCTAAAGAAATATCAAGATTTGTTTCTGCAGCTGACTATCATTGGCCGATTTAATATCCTGTGGGCAGTGGTGCGGGGTTATGGCAAAAGCGACGGCAGGTCTATTGACACTCAGCACCGTGTGCTTTATTTTCTCTAGCTGCAGCAAAAAATCATCCCCGATCAGGACCAGCTGATGGCAGTGGCTCTGGACTGCATCTACGGCTGTGAACGCAGTGACCAGCTCTCCCTTTGCTACGACGTGTTAGAGTGCCTGCCACAAAGGGGCTATGGGTGAGAAGCCACACTGTGCCCGTCGTACTATGTGTTTACAGTCCCGCAGTTAATGAAAATGCTGCTTCCCTGAGTGTTCATTACAGAGCATTTTGGGAATAGAAAACGTATAAAGAAGAAAAGGAAATAATCTGCAAATCTGTTGCCCTCAGATAAACTTTTGTTTTTTTAGCAGTAGATGGGAAGTCACTGTAATTTTGTCAACCTCATTAATTAATTATCCATTAAAAAGCAAACAAAAACACCACCGTCACCACGACAAAACATACTTTTTAAACACATATAGACAAGGATACAGCTTTGTCTTAAGTTGTGTTTCTAATTAATCATTTTCCATATTTGCGGGCTAATTGTATTTCTTCTATGAATTGTTTGTTTTTCGAGCATGCCTTCCAGTAATCCCTTTACGTAGTATGTATTTATATATATAATTCATTTGATTTTTCTCTTTCATTCTCATTGAACTTTAATTAACATACAGCACCATGTAAGTTCAACATGTGCAGCATAGTGACCTGACTTGCATATGCTGTGAAATGATCAGCACAATAAGTGTAGTTAACATCCGTCACATCATGTAGATGCAAACGAAAGAAAGAAAAACAAATGTTTTTTCCCCCTTGTGATGAGATCTTTTAGGACTTACTCTCTGAGCAATTTTAAAATATAACATACAGCAGTATTGACCCTAGTCATCATGTTGTACATTACTTTCCTGGTTCTGATTTGTCTTATAACTGGAAATTTGTATTTTTTGACATCTTCATATAATTACTCCACCTCCCATTCCCTGCCTCTGATAACAACGGATCTGATCCTTTTAACTTTGAGTTTAATGGGGTTTTAAAAAAATTCCACAGACAACATACATTATTTATCTGGCATATTTCACATAGCATAGTGCCCTTCAGCCCCATCCATGCTATAAATGGTAGGATTTTCTTCTTTTTTAATGGATGAATAGTATTCCATTGTGCTATGTCTCTCTCTCTCTCTCTCTCTCTCTCTCTCTCTGTCCCCCCCCCCCAACACACATGTACACACCACATTTCTTTATCCATTCATCTGTTGATGGACACACACTGAGGTTGTTTCTGCGTCTCAGCTATCGCAAGTAATACTGCTGTGAGCACGGGTGCAGATATCTCCTCGACATGGCGATTTCACTTCCTTCGTCTGTGTGCCCAGAAGTGGAATTGCTGGATTATATGGTAGTTCTGTTTTTAATTCCTTGAGGAATTAATTTACATAATTTTTAACTGGGCTTATGTTTAAATGGAAATTTATATAACATGCCTTTAGATCATTTAGTTGCATGCAAATTAGATTTATGTTTTCTTTCTGGAGGTCAGGTAACATTCATTCCTTTCATCTCTCTTTCAAATCTAGTAAATGCTACAGCTTTAACATCTGGAGAAGTTAATGCCCACACATGAAAAAGCCCTCATGAGAAATGAGTAGACATGTTTCTAAGCCTTTGTGACTTTAACCAAGTCACTTAACTTCTCTGGTCCTTAGTTTCCTCATTTGTAAAACCAGATATTTAGATGTGGAGGCCTCCTCATGCTCTGTTTCTTCTTTTTTTTTTCCTCCCCCCTCTCTCTCCTTTTCTCCCTTTTTCCTTCCAAGGAGATTTTTATGTGTGTGTGAAATGAATGATAGAAATCACCGATTTTGCAACCCACTATGAAATACTAGTTTTATGCCTGAAAGGTTTTGTAAAAAATAAAATTTTTATTTTGTTTGTTTGTAATTTCAAAGAGGAATTTACCCTTATAAATCTCCCATCAAGTATCAGAAGTAGCAGCACCTGGAGTCAGACAAGCTGGCCGTGTGTGCGGCCTGGTGAGCCGCAAGAGGGAGTGAGGTTGTTTACCTGAATCTGATCCGTCCTTTGAACCTCTGGCTGACAGTACAGGCAGGGGATAGGGGAACAAGGTAGATGGCACCATGAAGAAAGCAGCCAGATGAGGACACAATGGAGCTGTTCTATGAGTCCGTGGTCCTTTTACTTCGAGAAGTCAGTATCCTGGAGGAAAACAAAGGGATGGGGATGGGGAGCTATTGTTCTCATGTGAGGACGTCCTAAGGGACATGACCCCCTTCTGATTTTTAACTAAAACGATGTAGGAAGGATTTGAAGTCAGGAGACGGGAAGACTTGTAATAGATACACAACCGTTGGCTGCCTCACCTTTCCCGACCTTGAAAACCTGTCTTCTGAAAGCAAACACTCGTTGTGGGTAACGTTTTTCTTCTTGACTTGGCCCTTGTCGGCTTGAAGCCTTCTGTGTTGTCCCGGAATCACCTAGGTAAAATCATTGCATGTATAATGCAATGTATAATAATACATCCGGCATGTATAATAAAAAAATTATAATAAATTATAAAAAATTATAATAAAAAAAAATAAATGTATTAGACTTTGTTTTTCAGTAAGATCAAATAAGCATACGCTTATGTGTTAATTTTTAAACAGTAATTTGTCTACCATGAGGAGATAGCCATGGTGTCAACGGGATGATGATATTCAAAGAACATTTATTATGTAGACATGACAGGTCGGGAATGAGTATGCTCATTTTCAAAGAGCATATAGGCTAAAAAATGCCTCTTCTGTGTATGTGAGGCTAAAAGCTTTTTGGCTTCAGATGAATGATTTCTGGTCTAACAGATTTTTTTTTGGTAAACACACACAAAACAGCTTGTTTCATTTCTTTCTTAATGAATGTATTTCATAATTAAAATAAAAAAAAATAGTTTATAATTGTAGATCAGCCCAGTATTAAAATATGGGGCTTCAGAACATTTCCGGTGGTTCTTGTTTTTTGTGTCCAGTCGTCAGTTTATATTCTCACAATGAGTGGGTGGTTTTCTTTTTGTGGTTAAGTGGTTGTTTCTTACCAAATAGTAAACTAAATATTGTTTTGCCATTTAGAGAATGAGCAGTCATTTATTAAACTGAGTTAAACTCCTATGCACCCAACCTAGGCAGCATACTTCATCCGGTTGGGAGACTTGTCGTTATGTTTGGAAATGTCAATTCACAGAGGAAGAACGCTGTATTTTTGCCAATGATAAATGTTTATTGTAGAGCTATAAGCTGATAATTAAAAAAATATTATTCCTGAATGAGTATGTTAATGGAAGTTAGATCTGACAAATGATCTTATTTTCTTTTAAAAGACCTTCAGTGGAACATACCCTAATTTATCACTCTAGTCCAAGTCCTTAACTTTGGTTCAAAGAGACAGTATAATCTTTGTCAATTGCACTAAATAACTGCCAGATATAGATTTAGAGCAGGACCGATTGATAGTTTCCAAAATAATGAGGCTTTTGTGTTCACGTTAGGTCATTATTAATTGTCCAAGTCCAGACAAAAGGTTTTTACTTGGTCCTTTTGTTGGAAAACCCTCCGGTCCGCTGGAGCAGTCGGATCAGCACTGTGGCTCTGTCGAGAGCGTCCCTCCGCGGCTGACACAGACTCGTGCAGGGTGGAGGAGGACTTTCACAGCAGTAGCAGTCTTCCCGCCCACTCCCTGCCTTCACCGCTGTGTGTGCCGCGCCATAGGGCACCTGCCTTCCGCACCTGTCATCGGGCACGCCGTTCCCATGCTGCTTCTCCTGGGCCCCAGTCCACTTGCGTCCTCCCTCGGAAAGGGCTTGCTTTCACTGATGCCTCTTCTCCCCTGGTCCTTTCGTACTGATGTGGGTGCGGAGGGGATGGGGACATGAAGAAGTCCCAGGAACTTAGACTCCCGCTGGGAGCTTCCTAGGGCATCCCAGCTGGTGTGGCAGCCTGGGAGGAAGCCATCACGCAGGGCCGCTTCCGTACCCATCTCCTTGGTTGAAAGAACAGAAATAAGTGATGGTGTCTCCCTCTTCCTCCTTAAAAAAAAGACTACAATTGATTATAATTCTCTTTTTGTCTTTTAGCAGAACTGAACTTAGAGTTCTTTAGAAAATAGTTGCCCATATCTTGCTAACACATAGTAGAGAATATTGTTCTGCTCCATTATGTTCTAATTTAATCTCTTGAGACGTGAAAGATACTGAATGAGGTAAGACTGAAATTTCACCTGGACAGTGTAAAATTGTGATATATTAAGTACAAGGGAAACATTTCTTTTTTTCACTTGAGTTTTGAATTTTATTTTTAAAAACTACTACTGGAATTTAATTTTAATTTATTTCTCTACTCCTTTAGCCCGAAGACAGAGGTAACCACTGCTCTTCATGACATGGTAGACCAACTGGAACAAATTCTCAGGTGAGAAAAATGACAGTCTGTGGCTCTGTGCTGCTTAAGGAGGTCTGCCCAGGAATATTGCTTTAAATATGCCTAGCAGTCCTTTAGAGTATAACCCTGTGTATCTTTGACTCATTAGTGAGTGAATTTTTTTAATAACAGTGGTACTATTAGCTTATTTTACAAATGCTAGAGTAATGAGGTCGTGGACTTGGAAAACTGGTAGACCCGTGTTCAAATCCAGGTGCTGCCACTCACCCTGTGTGTGATCTTTCAGCCTGGGTTTCATATCTCTGATATCTATCTCATGAGATCTTGGAATTAACATTAGATTAAGCATTTAAAATACTTCACATGTAGTGGGTACCCAAGAAATATTAGTTCCTGCAGTAATGATTGCATTTATCTGCACAGTGTTTATTATACTCCTCTAACTTTTCAGGCACAATACATTTGATTGAACATCTAGTTTATAGCAAACTACACTAGAACTTTAAGTAACTGTAGTAACATTCTTTCCCTGTCAGAATGAAAAATCAAACTGTCTCTTTTGGAGACTGAAATTTCCCAATTTGCCATTTAGGAAGTCTGATATTGTTTACTAGTATTTATTTTTATTATGTATATGTAATTATGCTTGTGTGTAATTTTTAAATATTTGTATAAAAAATAAGATTTTAGCCCTGGCTGGTTGGTTCAGCAGTTAGAGCATCGGCCTGTGGACCAGAGAGTCCTGGGTTTGGTTCCCGCTGAGGGCACGTACCTTGGTTGCGGTTTGTCCCCGGCCCAGTTGGGGTCATGTGGGTGGCAGCCACTCACTCCATGTGTCTCTCTCACATCGATGTTTCTCTCTCTTCACCCCTCTCTCCCTCCTGCTCTGTCTGAAGATAAATGCAAAAAATGTCCTCAGGTGAGGATAAAAAATAAATAAATAAAAAATAAAATTTTAGGAGTAATAAACTTTGTTCTTCCAATATGTAATTATAGGAATTATAGATAACATTGCTTTATAGTGGTAATATGTAAAGTGTAATAATTTGGAATCTACTAATTTGAAATTTGTTTCATTAAAATAAAAGGACCTTAGTGTAAAGATATTTTGAGTTGTATTTAAGGAAACATGTTCTTTCTTGTGTACCATAATATGTGAGTTTAACGAAGAATTAACTGTTCAGTTTCCTCGGGACCTCTATTATTACCTTGCCTGATTTTTGTTACCCTCTGTTCTGAAAGTTATACAGTTTTTTTCTTGAATGTTTCATAAATCAAGCTTTCCTATTATAGGTTGGCTTGTGTATCTCCTCTCCTCAACCTCCCTGAAAAATTGAGCATAGTTGGAATAAAGTTCACTTGGTCAAGTCTGTCCAGATTCCTTCCTTAAAATCTGCGTGGTTACCCTTGTCTCCCTAATGAAATGGAGAGGAGCTCCTGCAAAGTCTATGGTGCAGTAAACACAGTTGATTTTACCGTGTTACTGGTTTAACTGTGTGTGTTCCTCAAAGTCACATTGTGCTCTCAATGCCTCAAGGAAGCAGGCACGTCCTAGAGGTTCTGCATGATACCCAGCTCTTTCACTGTTGAGCTTAATTTACTGACCTTTTAGAAGAAGAACTTTTTAGTCCTGTTTCAACTCATAGCCATTAATAGGTGATACATGTTTTAACATACATAACAGCAAGTGACATGACCCGTTAAACCTGTGTTTATGAAGACTGATTGAATTCTCTTCAGCTTCTTTATAAGCCCAGTAGTAGTAAATTTGTAAGTGTGAAGTTTGGTGAGATGGCCCAGGTTTGTATCGTACTGATGGTTATGGAATGGGATATCTCAGGAAGATTCATATGAGACCAAGAAAAGTTCGCAATATATTTTGTATTTTTATAGAATGGATTCTTGAGGGAGATTGAGCCATATGATATTTCCATGGCTTTTCAACTATGAAATTCTTTGCTTATTGCTTTTTTAGCAGCCTTGCCTATAACAAAATACTCAATTGGATTGTTGAGTTAAAGCTGGGTATTGAAATTATAGATTTGGTTTATTTTACTGACTTGGAGCTTTTAGAGGACAGGAAATTGTTCTAAAAGATTTGGAGAGAAGGAAATGTTATCCTTTAAAAAAAAAAGTGTTACTTCTTCCAAGTATATTGTAGTAAAAGTCAGTAGGGGAAATCAGATTTTATATATAATTATGAGCTTTTTTTTTTTTTGTCTGAGAATTAATGTAATATATAAAATTGTGTCATTCTATTTTTTTTTTTTTAGACAGTAAATAACTACTACTTATATATTTAAGATGCTTAGACTTTATTTGGTAGCAAGATTTTTAAAAAATCTTTTTTCACTTCCAGTGTGTCAGAGATTTTGGAGAAACATGGACTTGAGAAACCAATTTCATTTGTTAAAAACACTCAGTCTAGCTCAGAAGAGGCACGCAAGCTGATGGTCAGATTGACCAGGCACACCGGTCGGAAGTGAGTAAAAAAATTAATTGATCCTTGTCTATGATGAAAAATACTGCTTTTTTAAAAACTGAATTGAGTTATAAATGACCCATAAATAATTGTACATATTTAAAGAGTAGAATTTGATAAGTTTTGATATATGTATATCTCCATGAAACCATTCCATTCAAGCTAATAAGCATATCCATAACCCTACAAGCCTTCCTTGCCCCTTTGTAATTCCCTCCTACTGCTTCTTTCCATCACATTCCGTCCCCTTGCCAGGCTTCCACTGACCTGCGTTCTTGTCCCTATATATTACTTTGCATTTCCTAGAATTTTATGTATAAGGAATCATATAGTACACACTTTTTTTGGGGGTGGAGGTTGGCTTCTTTCACTCAGCATAATTATTTTGTGATTCATCCATGTTATATCATGGGTCTATAATTTATTCCATTTTATTTGCTCAATAGTATTCCATTGTATGGATTTATCACACTTTGTTTATTCACCTGTTGATGGACATTTGGCTTGTTTTGAGTTCTGGCTTTTACAAATAAAGCTGTGAATTTCATGTACCAACCTTATATGGAAACGTACTTTCGTTTGGAGGAATCTATGAATGGAATGGTAGGATCATTTGGTAGGTGGATGGTTAACTTTTTAAAAAACTGTCAAACTGTCTTCCACAGTGTTGTACCATTCTGTTTTCTATCTGGTCTTGTAGGAGGGTCCACTCATTCCACATCTCACCAACACTCGATGTGGTTGGTCTTTCTAAGCTGAGCATTCTGACTGATGTATGTAGTGGTATCTAAGTTTGGTTTTACTAGCTTTCTCTAATAAGTAATAATGTTGAATGCCTTTTTATCTGCTTATTTGCCATGTATATATCTTCTTTGATCATTTAAAAAATTAGGTTGTTTGTTTACTTATTAATTTTGAGTTTTCTTATATATTCAGGCTACAAGTCTTTTGTTAGATATGCTCTGCAAAGACTTTTTGTTGCCTGTGCCTTGTCTCTTCATTCGTTTACCTGTGTCTCTTAAAGAGCATACTTTTAAAATTTGTCGAAGTCCAGTTTATTCATTTTCTTCTTTTTTGATTGTACTTTCGACATCATATTGAGAAACTGTTATCACAAAGATTTTCTCCTACCATTTCTAGCAAAATTTTATAGCTTTGTAGATTTTATATAGTAGGTCTTAAAATTAGATAATATTAGTCTCCCATCTTTGTTTTTCTTTTTCCAAGTTGTTTTGTTTATTTTGGGGTCTTTGTATTTACATATGAATTTTAGAATTAGTTCGTCATTTTCTGCAAAAACATTTGTTCTATTTTTTTAATAGGGATTATGTTGAGTTTATAGATTAATTTGGAGATTATTGCTATCTTAAATCAGTCTTAAGTCTTCCAATCAGTTAACTCAGGATGTCTTTTCATTTACTTAGGTCTTTCATTTCTTTTACTGATCTTTGCAGTTTTCAGTGGATAAGTCTCGTACTTATTCTGTTAAGTTTATTCCTAACTACTTTATTCTTTTGGGTGTTATTGTAAATGGAGTTTTTTTTTTTTTTTTATTTCATATTTGGATTGCTCATTCCTAATGTGTAGAAATACAATTGAATTTTGATATATTCATCTTGTGTCTTCCAATTTTGCCGGATTCATTTATTAGCTCCAATAGGTTTCTTTTTTGCAGATTCCATAGGATGTTCTGTATACAGGATCACGTCATCTATGATCAGAGATGGCTTTATTTCTTTCTTTTCCATGTGTATGCTTGTTATTTATTTTTCTCTTTCTTTTTATTGGTGTCAGCACGGTATATTTTGTGGTAGACAAAATATATACAGCATGGTTCATAGCTCCTCCCGTTAGCGTGATATATCTTTTACTTTTAATTAATTTGTGTTTTTGTATTTGAAGTGCGTTGCTTGTAGGCAGCATATAAGTTGGGCCTTTCTGTCAAGATCTGATTTGGAGAGACCCAAGCTGCCAGTGCTGCTCCATTATACTGGGACTGTAAGGGAATTAATGCCCATTATACCTGACCTCATGCAATACCAGCCCTCAGATGGCAGATGAGAGAACCCATGTCTCGCGGGTGACTCCTGCAAGAAGAGCCTCAGTGCACACGCTCCTCCAGGGCAAGTGTTATAGTCCCCATACATCTGATGTGGGACCTCTCGCAGCAGCGGTCCTCTCTCAGTAATTATTGGGTAATTTTAGAAGGTTTTGGCAACTTATGTCTTAAGATTTCTTCACGACTACAACCGAATGGTCAATATTTCTGATCATGCCAACTCTAGACCCTGCTGTTGTGTAAGAAAGCTCTGTTGTGGCTGCTAGGTTATCCACTGTCTCCCCACTGAGCCCCTCGGACACTTCTGAGGTCCTGCAGTTGCTTTCTGTTCCTGGCGTTCTGCTCTCTGCGAATGTGTAAGATAATGGCTGCTCTTTTCAAAGCTGTCAACTGGAGATGAGTCTTAATCATCTCACATATGCTACAGTAGCTTTGCACCTATGGACCATTCTTGTGCACGTTCTAAATTTCTTTTAATCTGCCACAAGTCAAGTGTTACCATCTCGAGTGTAATACTGTTTTTCCCTGGAAAATGCACTTCTGTTGCAAAGCTGTAACTGCAACATGATGTTTGTATTCAGAGATCTCTCTGTTAATTTGCACACCTCTCTTATAGTGCCTTCAAGTTCTGCTCTTGGTTCTTACTTACTGAACGTATTCGGAAAAGGCCATTGTAAATAATGTCCTGTAGTCCGTTTTAATTAGAACCTGTACTGACGGCTAGCCATGTGTGAGAAAGCAATGCTGCCATCTGTCCTGGCGCCGATGGCTTCCAGAAGAACAGCTGGGCGGTGGGAACGGAATTCAGCTGGACAGTACCTAGGTCTGATTGCATCGGGCAGGTGCCAGGTGGACACTCACTTTATCAAACGTTTTGCCACTTCTCTGCGGCCAAATCTGAAAGAACCTATAATTCTTTGAAGCCCACTGAAAGAGTTCACATACCAGGGTCTCACTGATGGCAACATTTCAGGGATTATCCTGGAAGACAGGCAAATATATCAGTTTTCTGCATTTGTATGCCAGGGTGTGGGGGTCCTTTTATGCTTTATTGCATGTGGGATGGAAGTAATTGCTTATTTTGTGTAATAAATATAAAATGCTATGAGCAAATGTAGCAAATGCTTATTAATAGTTTTAGGTGAAAAATTCCTGCAGACTAGAATCCTCACAGGAATGATTCTAAATATGCACTTTTCCTCCCGTAGCAATGCTGTTAGACACAAGCAGTTGATTTGCCCTGTTTTTAATGCATAAGGAAAAGGTGCATGAAAAAGAAACATTGATTTGGTTATTGACAAATACCACAACACAAAACAAAGTCTGCCTTTTCAAACAATGAGATTCAGGATTATGCGGGAGTTCAAGACTAGAAAGTAAACGTAAATGGTGATTCCAAGATCCTGTTGATTTACTGAAGGTGAACATTCAAAAGAGGCAGAGAGGATTAAAGCAAGTCTTCCTCCTAGGAGATGATGTCAGTAATCGTGTGTCTGATGACAAAAACAAACCAGATAACTTCGTAACTTTCAGATTCGTTTACTTACATTTATTGAATATTATTTTATACCAGAGAAATGGGGGGAGCGTCTTTGCGGACATTTTTGTTTAAGCGAATCCTCACAGTATACAGAAAGGATCTGAAGCCCAGAGAAATTAAGAAACGTATTTAAATCATACAGGGGATTGCGTTTGTTTGTATAGTACTTAGGAACATCTTACTTCGATGCCTGTGTTTATCAAAGTTATCGCACCCATTGCTTGTCACTGTGAGGTGGGCTGTGAGGACACCGGACCTCAGGAGTATTAGACGACTTGCTCGGGATCACGCAGCTAATTCGTGACTGGGTGAAACTGTTAACAAGCCCTTGCGCCGTGCACTGCGGAATCTGACTGTCAGTTCTCCAGCTCTGTGGCCCTGGACACCACCGGGATCGGACAGACCTCACCGCTCGTGTCACGCTGGTCCCTGCCCGTACCTTGCCTCTGCCCTGAGAGAACTGTGTGTGACCCAGAGCACCTGAGAGGACCGTTCCTGGGTGTGGTCACTGCTGTGTCCTTGACGGGGCCCTGGGCACTGCCTGTGGAATTGTTAGGAAAGATACTGGCCCTTGAGCGGGGAGCTCCTTCCTAGGCCAGCAAGGAAACTTCCTGCACCTCCCTGGAGGCTGGTCTTCTTGCACTGGGAGGAAGGGCCCTGCTGTGCTCTGTGTCATTGCTCTGTGGGCTGCAGCCAGGCCTCCCCCTGAAAGAACAGCTGATGTTCCCGCTGGTGAGCTGGGGTTCCAGGCGGTGGTGGCCTCCTGGGTCTGCATGTCTAGTTGAAGTTAAGCAGCCCCTGCTGAGGAAGGACAGTGTTGAAGATGGGGTTCCAGACTAATTCTCCTGTCTCCAGGGGCTTTTTCTGCTGGATCACAGCGCTTCATCTCCCTGCATTGTCTCACCCCAGAAGCACCTGTGTTCACCGTTGCCATTGCCCTATGTGCTCTGCCAGCCTGGTGCCCGGGTGGCCGGCGGCAGGGCCGCGTGGCGGCATCTCGGTGCTGATGCAGCTGCCCCTTGCCCTCTGTCTTCTCTGACCTGGTTCCTGCAGGTCCAAATGAGACACATTTCTGTTGATTATTTGGGAGGTTGTGTGGCGTACAGAATGTGGTACCAGTTTTTCCCCCCAGCGTCGGCCAAGGGGAGAGAGCCCATGAGTTACTGTTACGACTTTTCTCCTCCGTTTCCCCAGGCAGCCTCCGGTCAGTGAGACCCACTGGAGGATGCTCCTACAGGACATGCTGACCATGCAGCAGAGCGTGTACACGTGTCTGGAGGCGGACACTTGCTACGAGGTAACTGCGCGGTCACTTACTGCCTTCAATTCAGACATTTCGGTCCTTACAGATCGTTGTTGGACACAAAGGTGATGAGCATGAACTGTTGAGTAAGGCTGCTGATCGAGCGGCGTTTTACAGTTTGAGTCTCCTCGTGCCTGACTTCCTGTCTTCTCCACCTCTGCTCGCTGCAGACAGCATTTGGTTAGTGGGTTAATGATCCTCAGCTGGGAAACTGGGACTCGTACTGGACCCCTCTCACTCCACAGTTTTGGTCACTACAACTTACTGTGCCCAAGAAGTGTCTGTCAAATCCATCCTGTCTTCCTCTCTCTCACTTGTCTCCCTACTTCCACATCTCCTTCAGATTTACTCTGACTGACACTCTTCTTCTAAAACAGACCCTTTCCTACGCGCCCCTTCTTAAAATCTGCTGCTGGTTCCAACCGATCATCAGTTATCCTCATTTCGCGGACAGCCCCGAAAGTCCCAGCAGATTTCTGCTTTCTGTCCCCCTCGCTCCTCTGGCGCTCCGCCCCTTGCTCCTCTGGCGCCCCGCCCCCTTGCTCCTCTGGCGCCCCGCCCCCTCGCTCCTCTGGCGCCCCGCCCCCTCGCTCCTCTGGCGCCCCGCCCCTCACTCTGACACTCCGCACCAGCTCACCAGGCCCCCATGCTCCACCTGTGCATCCATCCTGTCCTGAATCCCTCCCCAGTGGTTTTGTGTTTCTGTGACTGCATTGTTCCCTTGGCCTGGATATATTTCTTTCTCTTTCCATTATTTGAAAACTGCTACGAATTTTCAGGACTCAGCTCACTTTCCGCGCTCTGCGAAGCCGCCTTGTTCTGTCATGTGACGTGTGCCTTCCCAGTGAGTCCTGTTTCCGTGTGTCCCTCCCCTGGCCATGCGCTAGGCAGGCGTCGCAGGCACGCTCGCGCTGGGGCTCACCGAGGCAGCGTGGCCTCTGGGACGGAAGAGGCTCAGGCTGGTTGCGGGCGGACTGGGAGGACAGCCCAGGGAGCTTCCTCGCTATTTGGGAGATGCGTGAATTACGCCCAATTTCTCATAGTTTGCATGGAAAAATGATCTAAATAATCTGCTTTTAATTGTAAGTCCAAAAGAGGGTTCTCATTTGAATTTTTCTGTCAAATAAGCTAGATGAGCAATATAGAATATTTCTTGTGTCACCGCGCTCTGCGTCACATGACCCATTGATGAAAGGAGAGTTCTAGAAGTAGGTCTCTATTTTATGCATGGGGTTGGTATTTTAATTCAAGGTGATTTTAACAAAAGAGCTTGCAGACTGTTGGGAAATGAATGGTTTTTGAGCTTCAGGTTTTAAATGCTTGAGTGAGTGTGAAGTTTATATCTGTGGTTAGTTTTGGACCACGTACGGCTGTATGACTGTTCCTCTTCTGTATGGAACGGGAACTTGAAGTCCAGTTTCCAGAGAAGAATCTGTACGCACATGGTCCAAACCTGACAGTAGTGTGTCTGAGCGGTGTGTTCACGTTGCAGTGGCATTCCCTTAGCATTTTGCTTTTTCTGTTAGAAAAATTGGTAATAAGTGGATCACACTTGAACTAGCTCCTATGTAGAGTAATCAGTCAAAAACAACTTGATTTATTAAGTTGGTTTTGTTATATTTCAGTACCTTTTTATAGGCTTTGATGTTTTAGTGACTTCTGGCCACTCGTCTCCCCGAGAAGGCATTTGAAAGCATATTGTAGCGTTGAGCCCATTCTAGAGGAAGGTAATATACAGGTTTGGTGAACTTACGCTGTTAAATGTTGTTTAGTACCTTTTAAATTATGCTGTATTGTCTTACTGACTTTTGGCCATTATGTTAGGTTTTGTTGTTCTTGGGAAATAATTTGAAAGCTCAGTGGCACAATATTGAAAATGTTTTACAGCCTTGAGAGGGGAAGTTTATATTCTTCATTTTAGCAAAGCCTTTTAAGTTTTCGAGTGAGTGAGTTGTAGTTTCAGTACTGGGCACTGACTCCTTATGGCTTGAATAAACCAAAGGAACAGAGAAACTGTCACAGTTAAGTCATTTTGGTTGCTTGGAGTGAGCCCTTTTCACTTGTAGGATGGAAGTGATTAGAGTGCTCACTGATAATATGCTTTCTATCACAATTAATAATTTTATTTTTACCAGTAATTTCAGTAAAGGCCTGTCTAAACATACCTTCCTCAGAAGCCTAGAAACATGAAAATTGGGTAGTCTTACATAATGAAAAGGAAACCCTTGTTTCGTCATGAAGTCTCTTTCCATCTCTTCTATTTCTGTGCTGTTTTTATCCAGGTGGCATTTCTGGGAAGAGCATTCTTAGGGCAGTCCTTGTACTAATTTTATATTGATGTTATTAGTGTATATTTACAATTTTTTTCTTTATTGATATTAGAGATGGGGGCGTTAGAGGGAGAGAGAGATTGAAACATTGATGAGAGAGAACATTGACTGGCTGCCTCCTGCATGCCCCCCACTGAGGATTTGGCCCACAACCTGGGCATGTGCCCTGACCAGGAAGCGAACTGGCGACCTCTTGGTGCAGGGTTGACGCTCATCCACTGAGCCACACCAGCTGGGCTAGTGTATATTTAAAAGGCTTTCTTTGTTTAAGACTTTTGTGGAGTAAATAATCTTTTATTTAATGATTAGTGGTGGTTTTAATGTTTTTACACTCACATTTTCTATAATAAATTCTGTATTCATAATTGTAGTATTATTTTATTTTTTATTGTTAAATTTATTGGGGTGACATTGGTTAATAAGATTATATAGGATTCAGGTGTACATGTCTATGATACATGATCTGTATATTGCATTGTGTGCCCACCACAATCCCTTTTACAATCTTAATTATAGAAAGAAATTTATGTTAATTGATGCTGTTAGTTACCTAGTAGAATACGGTGATATTTGTATGAATACCTTCCATCAGTAGCTCTTGTTTTATTTAATTAGCTTTAAATTTGCAGGTTGGAAAAACAAACCTCAATGTTATATGATACCTTGTAATTTTAATGGCTAGGTGTGAGTATAACATCGGTATAACATTGGTAGCTTGGCTATTTTAGTTTGTAAGACTGAATTCAGATGTTTGAGCAGTCATGAATTATATGTTTTATATTCAGATATTTTATTATGAAAAATTGAAGTGGTTATAAATAGTTTAAACAGAGTGGCCCCGTTGAGTGTAGGGCAATATGTTTGATAGATTCTGTTTTTAAATGAGAATGAACTTTAGCTATTTTACTGAAATATTCATTTTAACACAATTAAAATATGGTTAACACTGGTTTGTTCAGTTAAATTGTTCTTTCTAGAAGAGGGCTTTTTTTTATTGAGGTGAAATTTACATAACATAAAATGAACCACTTTAAAGTGTGCGTCATTGTCATTTAGTACATTCTCAGCGTTGTTCAGCTGTTACCTCCAGGGTGGCTGTATTTTTAATTGATTTCATTTGGATATCAGAGCCTTCGTTGGGTTGAGAATCTAATCATCCTTTTTAAAGCACTAATTCCAGTTTCTTGTTTCCCCAGATATTTGCAGAAAGCCTCCTGTGTTCCAGTCGCCTAGAAAACATCCACCTGGCTGGGCAGATGATGCATTGCCACGCTGGGTCCGTGAACCCGCCAGCCAGCGCCGCCCAGAAAGGGAAGGCCCCGTACAGGGTCAGTTACGAGAAAAGTATTGACTTGGTCTTGGCTGCCAGCAGAGAGTACTTCAATTCTTCTGCCAGCCTCACTGACAGCTGCATGGATCTGGCCAGGTAGAGTGTCTGGGTTCTTCCACCAGAGGGAGGGGCGGCAGTGCACGGACAACGCTGGCGGTTTTACTCTCCACTCACAAAAGACACTATCACATGTGTGAACTGACGATGCGGTATGGGGCTCAGTTGTTGACTACTTGAATATAGAAAGAAAGCTGATGTTAGGACTAGTCATCAGCTTCCTCGTGACCCCCTTTTCCTAGTACGTTCCCCTTTGCACCTGTGCTGAGCAGCTGCAGGTTGTACTTCTGCTGGAAGAGATTCATGTAATCGCCTGAAAATTCAAGTTCTGGCAATTTCCAGCACACTTAGGTGATGTCTGTATCCTTCACATGGCTTCCGGACCTGATTAAATGGTAAAGCACAGAATTCCCTACCAGGTGGAAATTTCTGGAATATGAATGTAGTTCCCCTCTTGGCCTGTTGTACTGGAAATGGAGTGTTCATCTTTTTGCCATTGATTCTTTGGACCTTTTTTTGCATAGGGACATTTGCTCTTTGCTTGTCTTAAATATTTTAACTGTGTTGCCAAGTTTTTATTATATACGATTTATCTTTTAAATTGCTATCAGAATTTTTAAAAAATTTGGTTGTTTTTCTTCTATAGTTTCAGTCTTTTGTATCATCCTTTGGAAGGCCTTTAAATCCCAAGACCATTAAAATAGTTTTTCATATTATTTCTTACTACTTTGATGGCTTTATTTTTATACTGTAGTTTTAGGCCCATTTGGAATTTATTGTGATTGTAATGACTGTGGAAGCTATTTAGATTTATTTTACCCCCAAATTACTAGTTGTTTCAACTCTAGCAAAACTTAAAGGTAACTTGTTTTTTCAGCGCTATCTTACCACAGAGAGAATCATGTTTTCTCAAACCATGTTTTTGAACTTGACACAGTTGTTTAAATAGTAAATTTTTCTCTTCTCTCCCAAGGGATTGCATTTCAGATGATGAAAGTACCAAGGAGAATAACCTTTGAAACGGGGGTGTTTGACCTACATCCGTTGGGCAGGTGTTCTCAGAGATCATTTTAAAAACCACCCTTCCTGTATGTCGCCTTCATTCCATCCCTTTTCCTGCCTCAAGGATACACCTTAGCTTAAAAAAGATTTCAGGTGTATATAATATGGCGCCAAACTGACTGAGACCTATGAGCCTGGATATATTTAAGTGTTCACAGTTTTAGTAAATGTAGGAAATAGCCCCTATCTTCTTATTGATCAAATTGTTATTTATTAACTAATATTTCCTATTGGGGAAGCAATACATCTCAAGCTAAAATAGTCAAACTTACAGAAAGGATATCTATTTACAGTAAGTCTCTCTCCTCGTTCTAATTTCCCTGACTTTATCCCGCAGTTATTTTTAAAACCAGTTTTCTGTGTATTCTTTCCAAATATAAAATGCTATCTTCTTTCTTAAATCACAAATAAATGATTACTACTTCTGCATACCTTTCTGTATCTTTTTTTTCATTTTTCATTTATATTAAAGATTTTCCCATATGAGTACATAGAGGTTTGTTTCATTCTTTTTTGATAGTCATACAATATTCCATTCCTTGACTTTTATGTACCTCATTGAATTAGTTCCCGATTCAGTGTATTTTATTTTACTTTAAAAACACTGTGGTAGTGAACATTCATAATTCAAGTCTGTGCGTGCATGAGCCTAGCTGCATCAATGTCTTGAGCTGGAATTCCTGGGTTCCAAGCATAGTGCAGTGAGAATTTTGGTGGGTACGGCAGAGGTTCTGTACCTTCACAGTGGATCAGCAGTGTGTTCATCCTCATCTGGCTTCAGTGCGGTGTCCACCCTGGTGCCCAGGTATCTTCACCTGATCTCGACGGCATCATCAGCTCTGCGGGGACTGGTCTCTAACTGCCTTTCTTGTCTCGTATTCCAGCATCACTCTACCTGCACCCTTCAGAAAGCACCTTCGCTCGTTAATAAAATATTTATTAAGTCCACTGTCTGTGTCTGGGGTTTTTAAGGATTTGTTCAAAACGTGTTGAAGGGATCACAGATTCCTAGGTAAGCGAACCACTTTCTCCGGTTTTCATCGAAGCGCTGCATTGCCGGCTGCTCCTTCCTTCTCCGTCAGAAAAATGTCTCCTGCAGTTGGTTAGGTTGTTCCTGTTTCAGGTCGAGGGAGACACAGTTGTTGCCGAATCAACATGTTTCTGTTTTTGCTGGAAGAATAGCTGGAAATCATCTGCATTCCGTCTGTGACTTTATCTTTCCCAGTGTCGTGCTTTCTGCTGCGATACTGTTGCCAGCCACGTAGCCCCGTGCAAATCATCCCGTCTGGGCTTGGGCCTGGGCCTCCTTAAAGAGCAAATGGTGATGTTTTCCTATCTCACGGCTTGTCCTGAAGCGTGAGAAAGATAACAGGAAGCGCCTGCAGAAGACTCGGACAGCAGTAGGCTTTTGATAAATAGGTGTTGGATCTCACGTTGTTGAACGTGAGCAGTGCTTAGCCAAACACATGTTGTTGCCGCTTCTTAGAACTGTATCTTATTTCTCCCAGGTGCTGCTTGCAGCTGGTATCAGATAGACCTCCTGCCATTCAGGCGGAGCTGGATCTTATCCAAGCCGTTGGGTGTCTGGAAGAATTCGGGGTGAAGATCCTGCCTTTGCAAGGTGCGTTATCTGCTTGGTCTTGCACCGTGATTTGTGTTTTTCATTAATTTTCCAGTCTTCCTTTTTAGTTTTTTAAATTCATTAGCAATAGATCCTGCCCATTTTTCAAATGAAATTTAGGTTGGAACCCAGAAGAACAAAGAAAACCAACATTTTATCACAATTTTATTTTTTTAAGGTCATGGTTATGACACTGAAGGAAGTAACTTCAATCCTGGCGGTGAGGCCCCTGGGTAAAAACAAGTAGAAATCTGGGATTATGGGGACGAGTTGCAGATGTACATCTGTTTCGGAATACATTCATTTCTGTATTTCGTTTCAGCTGCATAGATTTAGAAGTAGCTATAAGTGGTAATAGTTTATTTCTTTTTATGCTTACTGAAGGATATTCTTGATTAGGTTGATGCTGTTATTTTAAAAGAGGGAATGACAGGAAGTTCCTGTTTAGAGTTTAATTATTGGCGATATCCTAACATTGCTCAGGACTTTTGACCTAAATGTAAATATCAGGTGAATGTCAGCCAAATCGACTTACCTGTCAGCATCTAGGTTGTGCTGTGAGTGCAGTGCCCCCAGGGCCCTGGCCGGTACCTGGCAGGTGGGAGGCAGAGTTCTGTCGCTTGGCCCTGGACCTCAGTGCCCTGCCAGAAGGTTGGCTTGGTTCTTCGCAGTGTGCTTGGATGGCTCCAGTGTAGTTTGTCTCTCTTCTTACCTGTGGACATGTTTGGAATTGGGGGTGGGGGTAGTATAGCTGAATTTCTTTCATCTCTGGGTTTTGGTACATTTTCACCAAAATTGTCACTCCTCGCCCTGGCCTATTTGGCTCAGTAGTTAGAGCGTCAGCCTGCAGTCCAGAGAGGCCCGGGTTCAGTTCCTGCTAAGGGCACATAGCTCGGTTGCAGTTTGTCCCAGCCCCAGTTGGGTCGTGTGGGAGGCAGCCACTCAATGTGTCCCTTTCACGTCGATGTCTCTCTCTCTCTCTCTCTCTCTCTCCCTCCTTCCCACTCTATCTGAACAAAAAATGGAAAAATGTCCTTGGGTGAGGATAAAAAGAAAATTGTCATTCCTCTTTTTATTACTTTTTTAAAATTCCGAGTATCTTGGGATAGTGATGGCCTGTTTCAGGCTTCGTGGTGTCTGTGTCCTCGAGTGTTCTGAGTAGATGGAGCACAGTGGCTACGCAGGGAGGGCGGCCAGCAGGGACCTTTCGTGCTCCCATGTGCGTTTCCACTGGAGACTTCCTGAGAAGTGACGTTTGCTTGTCAGACAGATGCATCAGGCTTGAAAAGGCAGTGTTGCTATTACCTCGAATGTCATTGTTTATAAATAATTTGCACGTGATTGTATATATCCTGACGCATCTTAAATATATTTAAGGTGATTGTTAAATAACTAGAAAATTCTTTTTAGTTATACCACTCATGTAATTGTTGAACTCAGAGCTTCTTAAAATTATGAAGATTAATCTGAGTTATTAAAAAGCATTTTCAGTTTATTCTCAAATGCCTTAATCATTAAGTACCTTCTCAGAAACACTTATGTTTTTAATTGAAGTTTTCAGACACAGGAGAGTCCAGAGGACTATGAAACTTGAGCCTGCCTGCCTTCCTTCCTTCCTTCCTTCCTTCCTTCCTTCCTTCCTTCCTTCCTTCTTTCCTTCCTTCCCTCCCTCCCTCCCTCCCTCCCTCCCTCCCTCCCTCCCTCCCTCTCTCCCCTCCCTCCCTCCCTCTCTCCCCTCCCCTCCTTCCTTCCTTCTCTCTCTCTCTCTCTCCCCCCCTTTCTCTCTCTCTCTCTTTCTCTTTCTTTCTTTCCTCACCCGAGGATATTTTTTCATTTATTTTCAGAGAGAGTGGTAGGGGAGGAGAAGGGAAGGGGCGGGGAGAAGCATGAATGTGAGAGATACTCATCGATTGGTTGCCTCCTGCATGACCCTGACCCTGACTAGCGCCAGGGCCCGAACCAGAACCAAGGTACATGCCCTGACCAGAATTAAACCTGTGACTCTCTGGTCCACGGGCTCATGTTCTAATCACTGAGCCAAACCGACCAGAGCTTGAGCCCTTCTTATATTTCTTGTTAGGCCAAGTCATTATAGCTTTGACTCGTGTGTGTATGTGTGTCTATATTTTAGCTACTTATATAATCCAACCAGATTGATGTACTGCAAAGAAACTTTTTCTTACAATCCCCAAATGCTACTAAATTTAAAATACTACATTGGCCCATTTTTTCTATGGTGCTCTGTTAGCATTGTTCTGACGGGCGGTACTTGCACACCGCTGATGGGTTGGCACCCCTGCGACCAAACCTCCAGTCCTATGGCAGCATCTGAGAAGCTTCCTGACTGAGGAGGGGTGAAGGAAGACGCCCGCTTCCATGTCCCCACCGTTGTCCAGCGTTTGTTAGGGTGCCCGTAGAAAGGCTTCGTGTCCCCACCGCCGTCCAGCGTTTGTTAGGGTGCCCGTCAGAGAGGCTTCGTGTCCCCACCGCCGTCCAGCGTTTGTTAGGGCGACTGCCAGAAAGGCTTCATGTCCCCACCGCTGTCCAGCGTTTGTTAGGGCGACTGCCAGAAAGGCTTCATGTCCCCACCGCCGTCCAGTGTTTGTTAGGGTGACTGTCAGAAAGGTTTCATGTCCCCACCGCCGTCCAGTGTTTGTTAGGGTGCCCGTCAGAGAGGCTTCGTGTCCCCACCGCCGTCCAGCGTTTGTTAGGGTGACGTCAGAAAGGCTTTCGTGTCCCCACCGCCGTCCAGCGTTTGTTAGGGTGACGTCAGAAAGGTTTCATGTCCCCACCGCCGTCCAGCGTTTGTTAGGGTGACTGTCAAAGTCCAGCTGTGGAGACAGAATGTTTCCTTTGTATATATTCTGCTTGTTGCATCGATACTGCAAATACACTTGACATTTAAGCTGCTTTTGTATTCATCAGGGATGCTGGACAAATAAAGCAACCGGATATTTCAAGACAAATGGTCCAGATGTTTTATTGTAGTCAGCGGACAACAGTTCCTTTTGTCACTTGCTGTGTTTTGGACCCTTCTTTGCCTACCCTTCAGGAGTTACTGTTTCTCATCCCGTGAAGCCTAGTGGTACTAGCTAAGTTAAAGTTAACAAGTTAATAGAAAACAGGAACGGAAACATTGTGTAAAAATGATTCCTGATGTATAAGTCTCTTTTGAATCATTTGTATGTGTACACGTGTGTGCTTCCCTAAGATTGGGTGTTTATGTGTGAATTATTTTTACTACTCAGATGAGCAGATTGATGATATTTTAGCTTCTCCCAGGTTTTTTCTCTAACAGGCAGTGTTCCGGGCATGTGGTTAAACCCGGCCTGGGGCCAGTTCCGCGCTTACTGCCGGGCGAGTGGGGGCCTCGCAACCTCCCTCCGTGTGCGAGCTGTGGCTGTGTTCTCCGTGACGGTGGCATCGGAGCGGCCTCACCTACCTTCTCGTTCTCCTCCCCCTTCCTTCCCCACCACCTCTTCGTCCTCCTCCCTTCACTCCGCTGTCCTTCCAGCCGGCAAACGTTAATTTCGCCACTTCATTCCAGGAACCGAAATAATGAGGGGCCTAGGGCACAGGTCCTGACTTCGAGCGGCTGACATACTGATAACAAGACAGAGTCACACCGGACTGTCACGTAGGGGTGTAAATGCTGATTCAGCCACGTCGAGCTCTGTGACCTGTGGCAACTTACTGTCTTTGAACTTCACCTTCCTCAGGAGGGGATAAACATTCCCTAGACAGTCCTGAAGGTTTATCTCGAAACATTGAAAATCCTTACATTATAGGGTCCCATACTTAATAAGCGTTTCTGTGAATGCCAGTAGTAATAATAACAACTAATATTTATTGAGTAGTTTTTATGTTCTGTGTATATTTCACATGTATTTATTCTCATACATACCCCACGAGGTAGTGACTGTTATTGTTTCTGTTTTCCAGAGGATGAAGCCAAGGCACAGGGAGGTTAAATAGCTGCTTAGGTCACACGGCTGGTTAGAGGTGTGGCTAGAATTCAACCTAGGCCGCCTGGCTTGTGAACTGCCTTGACAGACAGCGGACAGTGGTCTGCTGAGGAAGAGATGTGCAGGTCAAAGGTCCTTGAGAGGAACCTCTGATCTATGCCCTCACCCATCAGCGAAGTGGCTGACTCCGCAACCCCTTCCTCTCCTACGCGGTTCAGACGTGTGCTTCTGTGGCGTCACAGCTACTGGGCGCCCTGCACCTGCGATGCCGTTCTGCCTGAGTGCAGTTCAGGGTTTACGTCTGTGGCTGCTGGGCATGCGCGCTCCCTGCCCCGGGAGCCTGTGATGAGAGGGTTTGGCATGTGGATAGCTAGTCAGTAAATGCTTCGTATTTCTGGGACGTGTGTGTATACAGTAGCTTTTCCTTTGTTTTAACATTTGAGGTATATTGGCGAGAGCCACAGGGATGTGAGATCTTCCATTATTAAAAAATAGATACGTGCACATCCTTTCGTATTCATTAATTCCATTTAAAAGGAATTTTAGGAACATAAGACCTTTTCCCTTCAAGAAACATACCATTCCTGCAGCTTTTCTGTAAGTTTGAAATCGAACCATCATAAAGACTTACCAGTAAAGGTGGGCATGCAGACTGGTGCAGCCACTATGGAAAACACTATGGTGTTACCTCAAAAAGTTAAAAATTGAACTGCCATTTGACCCAGTGATCCCCACTTCTAGGATGTACCCTAAGAAGCCTGAAACACCAATCAGAAAGAATATATGTACCTCTATGTTTACAGCAGCACTATTTACAATAGCTAAGATCTGGAAACAACCCAAGTGTCCATCAATAGACGAATGGATAAAAAAGCAGTGGTACATATACACAATGGAGTACTATGCAGCTGTAAGAAAGAAAGATCTCTTAGCCTTTGAGACGACATGGAGGGACCTGGGGAGTATTATGCTAAGTGAAACAAACCAAGCAGAGAAAGACATATATCACATGATCTCCCTTATTTGTAGAATATAATGAACTAAACAAACTGATAAACAAAATAGACTCAGAGATATAGAAGTAGGGTACAGACTGACAAACCTCAGAAGAGGGAGTGGCGGGGGAGAAGACATAAACCCCAGAATTTATATGCATAACCAATGAACACAGACAAGGGGACGGGGCGGGGAGGAGGGTGTCAATGGGGGGAAAAGGAGAAACATCTGTAACAAAAATAAATTAATAAAAATAATTAAAAAAAAAAAAAAGAAACAGACTTACCAATAAAAAGGGTCCTGTCCAAACAAAAAACACTGCCTCTCTCCTTTATCCAGAAGAAGTTTGGGGAGAACACAAGATGTGTGGGATGTGTTAAAGAAATGGACATATGAAAAACATTTAAGGAACAGTGTTGAATTCTGGTCTTACCACTTTTTCAGTGACCTCGGTCAAAGTACTTAACCTTTCTGGACCTCAGTTTTTTCCCTTGAGGATAATAGTATCTGCTTTGAAAGGTGGTTCTGCCTTATAGGGTTGGTACAATAAAGCACTCACATCGGTGTCTGGGACGAGGGTCCTATTCATGTAATGCCTATTCGTTTAAGGTGTGTTGTTACTGTTGTATTTATTAGGGCCCAGCCTCCTAGGTAGTACCATGCTTCTTAAAGATGGTCACCTAGCCCTGGCCGGTTTGACTCAGTGGTTAGAGCGTCGGCCTGCGGTCCAGAGAGACCCGGGTTCGGTTCCCACTAAGGGCATGTACCTCGGTTGCAGTTTGTCCCCGGCCCTGGTTGGGTCGTGGGTGTGGGAGGCAGCCACTCAATGTGTCCCTGTCCCATTGATGTTTCTTTCTCTCTTCCTCTCTCTCCCTCCCACTCTATCTGAACAAAAAATGAAAAAATGTCCTCAGGTGAGGATTAAAAAAAAAAAAGACATCTAAATAAATACCATTTCTTCCTAGCATACATGTAATGCTTGTTGACTGTTTTTCCCTCCTTCATTTTAAGTGTTTTTAATGACCTCATAGTCATGGAATGAATTGGTGTGATCAGACGTGTTACATTTCCCTAACAGCTTGCAGACGTGAGAGCAATGGGTCTGTTGGGAGAAAGGGTAATGGGCTGGAGTAGGGAGTACTTTGAGAACTCCTGTCTGCACCCTGGGGAGATGTTCATGGAGGGAGACAGCAGGTGTTTGAACATGGATTGGATTTGGGGGGCGGGCAGGTGTAACAGGAAGTCTGTGAAGTTTTCAATGATAAATAGTGCCTTCTTCAAACTTCCCCTAAAGCCTGACATGGCACTTGAGAATGTGACATGTTTCCTAGTTCCCAAATGCCAGTTCATTTGCTGTTTCCGAAATTTGGTGGCAGAAAAGATTCATGTCGTACGTTATTTATTCAGAAGCAACAATAATTTTTACTTTTTAAAAACCGTGTGTCTGACCACTTAGTGACCTGGATCTAGCATGGTTTTCGTTTTATCTGGTTGCCTTGCATCAGGAAGGTCATGATAGCCTCGTGATGCCCGGTCACAAGTCTTGACTGTCTGTCTCCCTCTGCAGTGCGCCTGTGCTCGGACCGGGTCGGCCTCATCAAGGACTGTGTGTGCCAGTCCCCCGCGTGCTACAAGCAGGCCGCCAAGCTGCTGGGACTTGCAGAGCTGCTGAGGGTGGCCGGTAAGTCTGGGGTGCTGGACTGCAGAGAAGTCTCCCTGCTATGCTCGTCAGTCTCAGGCGAACCTCACAATAGGTGTGTACCGGTGTGAGGATAGCTCTTTGGGCAACGATTTGTCTTCTTCTAGAAAGATTGGCATGTTACCGAAATGTCACATGGACCTCTCTACAGGACTTCTTGAGTGTTAACATGAACTCATTTCTCCTGGAGCAGTCCATCCACCAGAGAGGAGGGGGGAGCCTATGATGCCTCTGACCGCGTCTTGGAAATCACACACCGTCTTTTCCACCTCATTCTGTTAGAAGTCAGTTGCTAGCCAGCCTCCACTCACGGGGGGCGCATTGGTTCCATCTTCGGAGGAGCGGGTCAGAGAATCTGTGGACGTGGGTTAAACTCCATCCCAGGCACGCGGGGCCTGTCCCTCGTCGTCAGTCCTCTCCAGGCGAGACGGCGCGCTCTTCTCAGTGGCGCCCAGTCCCGCCGCCCCTGCCCTTCTCCTGGGGTCTCGCTTCCTGGTTGTGACATTTTCTCGACACCTTTCTTTTCAGGCCTGTTTTTGGTTACGTTCTTCCTTTTAATCAACTGCTCAGATGGAACCTTCTAGAATTAAAGCAGTTAAACATTTGTACTTTGGACTTCTAGATGATGGTTTGACTCATCTCCACTTGAAAGTTTACATTGAGACAACAGTGATTCTCATTTTGCCCTTTGGTACTGATCTAAGTTACTTCTTCCTGTGTCCCTTACAGCGAAGATGCGAATCTCATTTTGAGCATAAGGAAACAGAAATAAAGAAGTTAAATAATGTATTCCTGACTTTGAATCCTTTCCTCTTACTGGGATCAGTGGGCCCTTACTTACAGTCAGCTGACTGGGGGCTTTGATTACATCTGTAGACCACCTTCACAACAACGCCTAGATCAGTGTCTGTAGCCTAGCCAGGTGACCCATGGGAAAAATCACACCTGGCCCTCTCATTTTTAATGCAGATATTTTGAATAAATGCCAACATTTCAAGAATGTTATTTAGGGAATTGGTTTTCTACTAATTGTGATATGTTATTGTTGATAAATGCATACATATTGTTCCATTACCCATATTACATATTATATGGGGGGGGTCCCTTCTTTCCTTCTAGGTTCTTCAACTGGTCTAATCACTGATTTGGCATAAAACAGATTAATGGGGAAAATCAAACTTAAGGGCATACGTGCTGGAGCCCGTGAAGACGTGAGGTCAAAGGCAGGCAGGCACTTGAGACTTACGTGCTGCCCTGAGCTCAGGAGAGGGGCTGGCATCCGGGGCTCCCAAGGGGAGGAAGACCATTTATAGGAAGGTGGGAAAGCAGGTGTTCGGTAGACAGATGTTGGCCATGCCAGGCAGGTGCGCTGTTCAGACGTGAAAGTGATCTCTGGTCACAGCGCTCGCTCTTTCTGGCCCAGGCCGCCTGTCTACGTTCTTCCAGGCAGTTGACGGGGGAAGCAGAAGCTCTCCTGAGTCGGCCTGGTCTTGATGGCCTTCTGGGGTAGCAGTTCCACTCCCCTTAATTAGGGTCACTAAACACGAGTGTGTGGTCCTAATAGTGCTGTGCCTCTTTGTGCTAGATCAGCTCTTTCTAGAGAAATATTTCAGACCAGCCTGGGCAGTGCTTAGCTTGGGTTTTATTTAACCCTTAAGCACAGAAGGGAGATAGATTTGTGGGGACATACTTTAAAAGTTTCCTTCAACGCTTTCTGTGATGTTTCCTTATGCTTTCAAACCATTTAATAGCTTAATGCAAAGACCAGAGACATGTTTTTTGTTTTGCCCTAGAAATATTGAAAATAATTTTAGGTTTTGTTATCTCATTAAAATAGTAATTTTTTTTCTTTTTAGCCTAAATATACAAATCATCTTTATTGTAACTTGGAATTATTTGTGTTAGAATTGAAAATTACATTCTGAATTGAATCTGTGCCCATTTCATTGAGGATGTTTTTTGAGCCTCGGTTATGTGCAGGACTTGGGGCTGGTACTGAGTGTTCAGCAGCAGCCCTGTCTTCTGAGAGCTTACAGTCTTGGAGGAGGTGTGGGTTGGGAAAAGGATCATGGCAATAAGTTGGTGTCCAGTGAGTGAAAAGCAAAGGGACATGTAGGAGACACACCTAATCCACGCATGTTATGTGAAGAAAGCGTGGTGATGTCAAAGAAGGAAGTGATGTCCACGCTGACTTCTACGCATGACCTCAGGAAAGGGATTTAAGATCTTTGTGTTAACATAAGCCGAATTGGGTATATTTTCTTAGTGTCTGGATGTTCACTGTGATAAATGAGAGATGCATACTGTCAGTGAAACTTCAAAATGACATCTATTTTACTTTGTGTTTACATTTTTTCCTGTCCTTATAGTTATCTTAAATTATATTTATAATTAGAAACAGAACATTCAAAGGGAAAAATACAAAAGTGAAATTTTCTCATAGCAAAAGAGTTTAAAGTCCTTGTGGGGAGGAAAGCTTTTCCTCTGCCTTCTCAGGCTGGGCTGCTGGGCTGGCTGCTGAGAATCATTGATTGCTTAGGAGTCTGAGACCTGATCCGAAGATTAAGTGGATCAGAAGGTGGAAGTTGCTGTGACCTTTTGTCCCGTAATCTTTTAAAATCAGTCTGATCGTTACCTTTGATTTTTGAATTAACTTGAAAGATGGTGTTCGTGAACTCTTTTATGAATCCATGCTGTCAAATCATTAAGTCGTATGTATGTGTTTACAGGCGAAGACCCAGAAGAAAGGCGTGGACAGGTTCTGATCCTTCTAGTGGAGCAAGCACTTCGTTTCCATGACTACAAAGCAGCCAGTGTGCACTGCCAGGAGCTGATGGCCGCAGGTGAAGTAGGCGGCCACTCAGCACTTTGCTCGTCCCCTTTATGCAGACAGGAAAGGTCTGTTCTCAAGTCCACTGGCCTAGTTGGCCAGCCCGTCACCTTGCGTTCGTAAGACTGGGGAGCAGCTTGTGAGCATAAGTGTGCATGCCATGAGCTCGTGTGTTTACTGAGCACTTCAGTGCCTCGGGTTGTATTTTGTCTGAGATTTTTGGGTACTTTCCATTTCCCATTTAAATAGTCTCAGAAGTTTAACAACAGGTTTCTGCAAAAAATGGCTGCCTTTTATGTGTTTGTGATTTAAAAGAAACTTTAAGTTTTTGAAGTATCCACTGTTTGTGATTCTATAGTCAATATTTCTGTCATCTTTTAAAGAAAATGATGCTGTATTTTAAATGAATATTGAGGAATTGGGAAGTGTTTTGTAACCCTAAAGTTTTGTATATTGAAATTCTAATCCAGGTCTCTGGAGGATATGCAGATTTTACTGTAGGATAGTTTCTATTAGAAGACACACGCATTCACTCCCCAGCGAGGTAGGAGTGATCTCGTGGTCTCACAGGCCCTGTACGGAGTGACCTCCTTCCTGTAGCCATGCCCAAGCATGTGGGAGCCCCGGCGCCCTCTTCACCCCCGTCGGTGCCTGCGTGGCGAGTGGCCGAGATGCAGCGCTCGCTTCGTGATGATTCGCAGAGCCGTGCACCTATGATTTGTGCACGTGTATGTGACACCGTTACAGCAGATATTATTCTGACACTTGTTAAAACGGTCAGGAAAACTTTATTCAAGACTTCCGCAGTAGATGCTGAAACTATTGCAATAGGGAAGAGAGAGCAAGGTGAACTCTGGATACAGGAGAGACAGTTTGGGGGTTATAGCCGCGGTCAGAGTGAGGGGATCACTGGATGAAAAACTGCTGTGATGAGACACCAGGGGTAGTGGCATTCTTGCTAAACTGCCGTAACAGGATTCTTGCTGAAGGCAGGCCAGGGTGGTCAGATGTCAAGGGTGAGGGCTGAGGAATTTGATCAGATGTCAAGGGTGATTGCTACAGGCAGTGGGAGAGTCCCTCTGAACTGACTTAGCAGGTTCTCGCTAATGGCTCAGCAGGGACTGGGCCGAGGTGTAGGCCTAGTCCGGAAGGGGGCAGAGAGAAGGTGACCGCAGTTTAGTTGGGGGAGGGTCTTTGTCGGTACAGCTCTGGAGATGTCCAGAACTCGGGGAGCTCACTGCTTTACAGCCTCAACATTAGAAAACTGTTTCCATAAAAGAGCCGTGTTCTGTAATATTAACCAAGTGATTTTGCAACATTAAGTTGCAAAATAACTGCGGTTTGCTGGAAAAACATTATTGTATTACTCTTCAACTGTTTATTTAGAGAGGTTTGTAATAATTTTATTCCTGTTAATACTGGTACCTGGATTAATTTTTTACTTTATATATTTAGAGAAGTTATTGTAGACTGAGGCCTTTGTGCTTAGGGAAAACCCTACTTTCAAACCGGAACTCCTTTGAATAAGAGAAAAGTATATTTGCAGAATTCACAGTGTAGAATTGTGTAGGAAAAGGACCTTTGCCAGGAGTTAGGGTGAGTGTATCCTTGGCATGTTCCTTGGGTCTCTGTCTTCTACAAAGGGGATGATTCTGGTAGCTGTCTAAACTAAGTTCTCTTTTCCTAGCACTTTCCAGTTTACAGAGTACTTTTAAATACAACTGTCATTTAATCCTTTCCACAGACCGACAAGGAAGACATCGCTGTGTCTCTGTAGTAGTGAAGGAAGTGTGACACTTGGAGCTTTCTCCAGCTCACAGGTGTGCGGAGGAGGCTGGGGCCAAAGCCTCCAGTCTTCTGAATTCCGTTGGCTCAGCACCAGAGCAGATTATTTGTAGTCATTGTCAGGTAGCCCGAAATGTAAGCTTATCAGAAACCTGTCTGGAGTAGCGTTGACCATGCTGGACGAGAAACCAACATGCTCTTTCTGTTGTGCCCTGGATCCTTGTGTGTTTCTGGTTCTATAACATTACGCGTTGCCGGTGGCTGTGGTTTTGCTTTGGTAACACAACACCTGAGCAGAAAGCCATTGAAATCATCCTGTTAGGTTGAAGATGTTTCTTCTTTTGAAAGTCATGTGTTTTGTCTTGTCAATTTTGCAGGCTATTCTAAAAGTTGGGATGTTTGCAGCCAGCTAGGACAGTCGGAGGGCTTCCAGGACCTGGCCAGTCGTCAGGAGCTCATGGCCTTTGCTCTGACGCACTGTCCGCCTGGCAGCATTGAACCCCTGCTGGCAGCGAGCAGCTCTCTGCAGACAGAAGTAAGTGCGCCCCGTGGACACGCACGGCGTTTTTTGGGTGTGTGAGGTTCGTGGTCATTTTAAAAAATAATAGAAGAAATTGAATTTATGGAAGAAAACTAGCTTGTTACTCATGTGAAAAGGAATCTGAAGATACCCCGACATAAGATAGTGCTGTTTGTTATAGTAGGAAGAAAGGGTGCAGAGCGGGTTCCACTTCGGAGACTGTTGTGTCCGAGTGATGCTGTCCCTGGAGTCCTGTTCCCCAAACCACTCATTCAGTTTTTCTCCAAAGACCACTTTTTAAATTTCCGCCCACATTGTGAAGAGAGGCAAATTTAAAAACATGATTTGTTCACACTGTGTTGCCTTCTCTTTTCAGATTCTTTACCAAAGAGTGAATTTCCAGATCCATCGGGCAGGAGAAGAGAGTGTCAGTGCTGGGCCGTTCCTTAGTAAAGTGCTGCCAGAGGTGAGTCGGCGCTGGGACCAGGGAACAGGCAGCTGGGAGGCTGGCCCTGGGTGACAGGGCATCACCTGCCCTCGGGCTGGGAGGGCGTGTGTGTGTGTGTGCTTTTTTCTGTGTCTGTAAAGACTGTTTTTCCTTCAAACTTTCGTGTGTGTGAAATGCAGGTGGGGCAAAATTAAGTTTCCAGTTGTGAGTCCTCGAAACACAGTCTATTTTTGTATTATTATTGATTAATTATTGTATCATTTTCCATATAAACAACTGTAAACCTACGTTTGCCCCAGAAAAATACAGAGAATGAAAATACCCCAGGCTGTGCTTATGTGATTTGTGCTGTTACGGGCAGTGTGGTTACCTGTTGTTACTTCATCGCGGTGCGCCCATAGAAACTCATCGCGGTGCGCCCATAGAAGCTCATCGCGGTGCGCGTATAGAAACTCATGGAAGCTCATCGCGGTGCGCGTATAGAAGCTCATCGCGGTGCGCGTATAGAAGCTCATCGCGGTGCGCGTATAGAAACTCATCGCGGTGCGCCCATAGAAGCTCATCGCGGTGCGCCCATAGAAGCTCATCGCGGTGCGCGTATAGAAACTCATCGCGGTGCGCCCATAGAAACTCATCGCGGTGCGCCCATAGAAGCTCATCGCGGTGCGCATATAGAAACTCATGGAAGCTCATCGCGGTGCGCCTGTAGAAGCTCATCGCGGCGCGCGTATAGAAGCTCATCGCGGTGCGCGTATAGAAGCTCATCGCGGTGCGCGTATAGAAACTCATCGCGGTGCGCCCATAGAAGCTCATCGCGGTGCACATATAGAAACTCATCGCGGTGCGCCCGTAGAAGCTCATCGCGGTGCGCCCATAGAAGCTCATCGCCGTGCGCGTATAGAAACTCATCGCGGTGCGCGTATAGAAACTCATCAAAGCTCATTGCGGTGCACGTATAGAAACTCATCACGGTGCGCCTGTAGAAGCTCATCGCGGTGCGCTCATCGCGGTGCGTGTATAGAAACTCATCGCGGTGCGCGTGTAGGAGCTCATCGCGGTGCGCGTGTAGAAGCTCATCGCGGTGTGCCCGTAGAAGTTCATCGCAGTGTGCCTATACGCCAGTTTCTCGGCTAACGTTGAGTGACGTTAGTTTTCCATTTTAGCATCTAAGAACGTGTTATTGTCTCTAGTGCACATGCGCCTATCTTCCGTCTTGCACCTACAACCTGGCCCTGGAGGTGTCTATGCCACTGTGCGTTTGCGCAGCCTGCACCGGCTCTCACGGGAAGGTCCCACTGAGGTCTCACTGGGCCACTCTGGCAGCAGAGTTGGAGAGAGCCATGCACTGCCCTCTGCCACCCTGCGCAATCCGTGTTTAAAACGGGACCTGTTCTCTAAAGTGTCTAGTGACATCCGTTTGTCACTGCTGATCTGTTTGATCTGACAAACACTGCAGAGTTTGATGTACATTTTTCTGATTACTAATGAGATGGGTTATCTTAGGAGGGATCCTGTTTTGTGAGGGACCTGTTTGATTTGCCTGCCCATTTTTTTATTGGCTTTTTTCCTTCTTTTTCCCTTCCCTCATTGAGATTCTTCCAAATAAAAATGAACTGATGAACAAAATAGAAATAGAGGCATGGATACATGGAACAGACAGACAGCTTTTGGTGGTGGGGCGGGGCGGGGCCGCACTAGATGATAGAAGGTGAAGGGATTAGCCAAAGAACATATATGCATAACCCATAGACACACAACAGTGTGGTGATGGCCACCTGGAGGGGGTGCTGGGGCTGGGTGGAGGCGGGCAAAGTCGGGGGTAAATGGGGACAGCTGTAATAGTGTCAACAATAAAAGTAAAGTTTAAAGAAAAGGAGAAGGTACATACCCATTGACACCTCTCTCCATTGGTTTGCTCCTTGGAATCTAACTTTTCATGGCTGTTTCTATAAAATTGACATTTCTTTAGGTCAAAGAAAGTAGTCCAGTCTCTGATAATTACATAAATTAAGAGATGATATCCTCTTGACGGATTGGTTTTCCACTGGATTCCTTTAATTAGTAAGCTTCACTTTCAAAGTGTGAACTGTCATGCATTTTTCCAGCGAGTACTTTGGAAGACAGTTGGCTGTATTTTGCCCAACTCATTTGTACTTGTACAGTTACTTTTAAAAGTCTGATACAAAGCTTCAGATATGGAACCTATTGATGGAGTTAGGGCAAAGCTTTTGCTTAGAGTGGAATATGTTTAACAACCCCATTTCCATAACTCTTTTGTCTTAAAATGCAATTTCACAAACGTACATTGAATATACACATGTGTCCCCCGTTCAATGCTAAGTGATTTGAGGTCCTCAATGTTATTTAGAATGTGACCTTTTGCCCTTAAGGAGTTTTCTCCTAATAGTCCTGCAGCGGTGCCTTCAGAAAAGCACTGAGCCATAGGATTTTCCCCAGTGAGGGGAAAGTGTTGTATCCACACTGTCGGGTGTGGTAACCACTGCTGAGTACTGGAAACGAGGCTGGTGCTGCTGAGGTACCAATTCAAATAGCCATGTGAGGCCACTGGCTGCCAGATTGGACACCCCAGTCCTAGAAGACTTGACATTCAGTGGGGTATTATGTTCTGCCATCACCACCGTAGACAGTGGCCTTTTTGGGGGGGGGGTGCACTCCCTCTGGATGGAAGCCATAGTATTTTCCAGGTGCCCAGACTGGTGTGGCTGCATTTTGTCACTGGGCACACTGACTTCCTGTTTCACTGACCGCTGCCTGGCTTTCCTCCTCGGGTGTGAACGCACACGGTGCTTCCGCGTGGCAGTCAGAGTCGTTCTCTTACTGGCCAGTGGTTGCTCAGCGTTCTGTTAGGAGCTGGCAAGTTCTCCCATGTTTCGAGGTCTAGTTGAAGACCTCCTTTTAGTGAGATCTTCTTTATTCCGAGTTTTCTCTTCTGAGCCTCTGATCCTTCCCTGCTTATCCTGCACATTTTGGCTGTCTCCACAGCCCCATCTCTTCCTGCCTTCCAGACACGTGCCGTCGATCACGCTGAGCTCGCCACGTTCTCTGAGCAGGCGCCTTCACGCCTCTGGTGTTTGCATTTCCTTCCTACCTCTGCTGCCCTCTTGTCCTGGGCTCTGGTCCCCTCATCTGGAGTATTGTCGTCTTTGTGGGGTTTCTTCCGCGTCCTCTGGCGGCTCCCTGTTCTTCATGCCGCCCATGCTCGCAGCCGTGTCAGCACAGGAGTGGTGCGGATGGTGTGTCTGGTCACTGCCAGTGTGTCGTTTAGCTTGGTACTGTCTCCAGGGAGGCTCGTCCTGCAGGGACTGCTTAGGACATGCTCGGTAAGTCAGGTGGACACTCCCACCGCATAAAATTAGTCGGTGGCATAAATGAACCAGAAAGTAGCTTTCAGCCTCAAACTGAAAGGCATTTCCTGTTTAGCTCACCTGTGTGTGGTGTGGTGCCTGAGGTCTGTTGTGCTTTGGCCATTGTCGGGGGTGTAGCGTTTCTCTGTTCAGCACAGAGCTGCAGTGTCCGCTGCGTGGAGCCCTGCAGCTTATTCTGGATCCCCACCCTTCCTTACAAAACCCAGGAAAAGCCTTTGAGACGTTCTGGGTTTCCTATTTTCTGCTTCTACAATGAATTAGAAAGTGTCAGCCTGACCCCTTGGTGGCTCCTTTGGAATAGGACACGCTGTGTTACCACAAGTGGGCACGCAGTGCTCCATTAGAATCTCTTTATAAATGAGGCAGCCCTGTAGTCCTTTGCATGTTCGGCTTGGCAAGGAAAAGGAACTCTTTCAAAACGACTGCCCCCCACCCTTTCTGTATTTAGCTCCTTAAAAGCTTTCCTGCCTTCCTTTGTCCACGTTCGGCAAGTCGTACTACCTCCACGTCTCCTGAAGTGCTAACCCACGCCCGCGGGAGCACACCGCGGCTTCGATTCACGCAGCACATCTGAGTGTTACAGCTGCCATTATTAGATTAGAATATAGTGCCCAGCTCTCAGATGCGGTTGTCACACATTAACAGCTATAATAACCACATTAAGTTACAACTCAAAGATGAGAGCTCACTGTGTAATCTGCTTAATGCCCAAGACTTTCATTACCCAGTTGTGCAAAGAATGATGCTATGTATGTATCCCAGCGAAGGGAAGTGTGGTCGCCAGCAGGAAGTGAGGTCCGCAGCAGCGCAAGTGTCGCCCACGAGGTGGGAGACACTGGCTGTTGTCCCTCGTAACCAGATGCTTGTCTATAAATAGAACAAAATGCATTGTGGAAAACCACCAACAGTTTCTTATTAATGTTGGTTATTATGTTTTTCAGAGGCAACAGTATCCCATCAGTTCGACTATATTAACATTTTGTTTAGCTAGGATTAGTTGTATCTCTTAGCCAGTCATGTTTTCCCCAGATAAATCTAATTAGAGCAGGAAATGGATTATATGCAAGGTTCCCATTAAAAAATCATTTGCACTCTGAGGAAACTTGTTCTGAACGTTTTAAGTGGCTACAGATTTATATACCTGGACTAATGAATGTTTAGAACTGGGGCATGGACGGAGCAAAGAGCGATTTTGAATTTATAAAAGGATAGATGGGAAATACTATCTAAATGAAAGTGAGCAAAATGGCAGTTGCATTTCAGGGTCATGGACCGTCCTTCCCTTTCCCGTCAACAGTTGATGGGTATCTGGTTTGTTTCCACTTCTGAGCCCTCATGAGCCATGTTGCTGTGACGGTCTCTGTGCAGGTGCTTGGAAGTGTGCTGTGATGTCTGGGCTGGGTCCCTGGAGCGGGAGGGCCGCCTTGTGTGGTGTGTTTCTGTGGAAACCGCCTGTTGTTTTCTGGAGTGGCTGCCGCATCTTCCTACCCGGAAGCATCAGGTTCCAGTTTCTCCACATCCGTCCTGGCCAGCCGTGCTCTTGCGGGGCTTTTTGACTAAAGTCATCCTTAGGGTGTGTGACGTCTCAGTATCATTTCTGTGTGCGTTTTCTAAATGACGAATGACAGTGGG